TATCAAATGTAAATGTGCCTTCATATTGTAGAAAATCTTGGTATTTCTAATCTGATAGAAAATCTTGGAATTTCTAATCTGATAGAAAATCAAAACCAAGAGAGGATTGTTTTATTCTACTGTTCAGGTTTGGATTACCAATATCTACATACAAGCATAATAAAAAACACATTCACAGTCTCCAAATCTTAATCAACTAAATCAAAACATTGCTCTAATCAAGATAAACAATGAAAAGGTATATGAAAAATACTTCTGATTAAGCAGAAACCAATCACATAAAATCATCTCACAACTGCACTTTAATGGATACACCCAATCATTGTCAATAAAAATCAAAACTAGTTATAAGAACTACAGCAATCTCTTAAATATAACACCATATTCCAGTAATTCTGAGCTATGCAGAACACATACTTTTCCATGGTTCCCCCATGCTTGTGTATGAAATAACTCCACAGACTGCCAAGGCAGCGAACAGGAAGAGAATTACGCTCCGCTGTAGTCGAGACAGCTGCTTCCATTTCTTTAGGAGAGAAAATAAAGAAGAATATTTAGCATGACATTGAGAGCTTACTCAGTCAAAAATAAACTTTTATCAGTTCATTCAGAGCAAGAAACACAAAACTGAGTAGGTTTAGTTTTACCCTCTGATTTCAACTGTAGACATCCATTGCTTACTTTATTTGATGATAAACAGAAATATAACATGCTAGTAAATGGCACAGCAAACTCAGAAACATCAGAGCCATTTGCTGAAAGAACCTCAGAGATTACCAAGTGCTGAGATTCCCAGAGAGCATCACCTATAGTGTGCTGACTGGACAAGAAAAGCCAGGCATACTGCCTCTGACAACCATATGTGGCACTGTCACACCGAACAGGTCCTGCCACCACAAATAAAGTCACCAGCCCACAGCAAGATGACAATGAAATAAACCTACAGAACAACCAACAAGACAAAGCCACAATGTTTTCAAGGTTAGTCCCAGGCAAAAATGTGTTTTTAAAACTAAAGTATATACAACAAAATCACTAAAAGTCAGACAGCAAATGCTATGTTAGCCTGAGAGAGAAGTTTCCTCCATTTAGATAGAGCACAGTTGGAGTTAAAGTTTAACTGCTAAATTATAATTTTGTTAGTTTTCTAACAGTCCTATCAGAATTCACAACAGCAGCATTTTGCTTCTAATTTTTTGGCATTCACAGAGGACACTTCAGTGCCAATGCTACACTTGGGAACAACCTGCAGTTTCCTACAAACCACTCCACACCCCACAGCACTTCCCATAGTCCTCATCCTCTTAATAACAACCAGATGCTGCAAATGTTTCAGCAAAGAACTGTCAATGTGCTCACATCGCCAAGCCCCACTGCATGCATTTTCTGTTTTCCTCCCACACTGCAGACAGCACAGTAATCCTGCACACCCTTCCCTATGCACACCACAAGATCCCACTCCTTCACCTTCGGCTCTACCTGCACAGCGAACCATATCATCATCTCCCAATTGCAGAAGGATGCTTGAAACCCAGCAGCCCTGTGTTTCCTAAGGGTAGTATAGGAAAAGAGGCATTGACTGTGGTGTCTTGGGATGAGTAGGAATAAGGTGCAAGAATATATGAAGGCACTCACCACTATCTTACTTTTTTTTTGCTGACAAATAAGGATTAAAGAAGGGTGAAACATCTTGTGTCTTATTCCCACATTTCCCTAGCTGTTAATGGAGAGAAGCTGTCATACTGTGTCCCTAAACAAGTTCTTCATACACTTCATCTAACCACCTGTAAAGCCTCCATAGGTGGCTATACCTCACACTCTATCTACAACAAAGGTTGTCTTGTCTATTTGACTCACAAATTCCCACCCTGCCTCTCCAGCCCAAGACTCCCACCCCCTGTAAAGCTGCCTGCCCGCTCCCTACCCTCAAGCAGACACGAAGGTTACTTCCGCACAGCTCTGCTAGACCCCCTCTTCTCATACTCAGCCATCCCGCAGAAAGCAGAACTGTCCCCTTTACTCTCCTAGGGCAGAGGACAGGGCTCCCCTTTCAAGCCCTGAAATAGGGGACAAAGGCACCAAAGACCAAATCCCACACACCCCTTCCACTCCTGCCCCAGTTGCAGGATTCCCCTCAAACGCCCACTGTATCCCCTCGCCCCAGCTTTTTCACAAAAATTAAGATACGACTTAGAGCACCCTCAACCTGCCTGCACTCCACAAACCCCTACGAGGTGGAGAGCTGGCACCCAAACACTGCTGAGAGCAGAACCCCAGCGCAGAGCCGCCCCTCCCCAAAACCCAGGGCACCCCCATCGTCCAGTGCCCACAGCTTAGGTCTGCTCCCCAGCTCGGAATGAGGGGTCCCAAGCCAGGACCCCCAACGCACAGTCCAGCTGCGCCGAAGCCCTGAGACACCCCTCACCGTCCGCTCCCCGCAGACCGTCCCTCCCGGCCCGACAGTGCTCCCTCATTGCCAGGTGCACCCCACAACCCAGCCCGGGGGCACGCACCCACCGCTGCCCCAGAGCTCTCCACCTGCTCCAGGCCGGGTCCTGCCCTCACGGCCCGGAGCCTGCCCTCACCCGCCACCAGGACCGCCGCCTCCAGGCCTTGCTGTTATTGTAGCCGCCAGCCCCCACCGTCTCCTCCGGGCTGAGGGTGACGGAGATGAAGTCCCGTCGCGGCGGCGAGGCGGCGGCGGCGGCGGCAGCAGCAGCCGAGTACATGGCGGCACCTCAGGGGCCGCAGCCCGCCCCCCCGCCTCCCCACTGTCCGGCCGCCATGACGCCGCGCCTCCCGGGACGGAGCGGCCGCTTCCGGGTGCCGCTCTAGCCCGAAAGAGCTTCCGGGACAACATGGCGGCCCTAGCAACAGCCGCGCCGCGCCCTAGCAACGGCGGCCGCCAGGCGCACGGGCCGCGCCCCGGGAGGCCACGGCCGGCACGGCGGGGCTCGTCAGCCGTGGCCTTCACCGCCGGACGCAGCGCCGGTGCCGCGGCAGCCGGTGAGGGTGCCACGACAGAACGCAGCTCTCGGCCTGGGCTTGTTCCGAGTGCGAGCAACGCCACCAGTCATCCCGGCGCGGGCACCTCTTTCGGGCAGGGGGTTGTTGGGGTTTTCCTTTTTTCCCTTGCTGGCCCTTACCGTACCTGTTCTTAGGACAGAGCCGGGCCGGGCCCAGCGGGGACTCCAGCTGCCCAGGCAGGAAATGAGATGTCAGGAGACGCTGGGAGGCCTAACTTTTCCTTAGCCTAACTTTTCCTTCTGAGATTATAATATAGAGACCAGTCACTGAAATATTGGCATAAAAGAAACAAATGGAAATGTGCAAGTAGGTCATCAGGAAAAACAACTTGACAATTAACAGAAGGGCCTATGTGCTCCCATCAGTCAAGCTCAGGAAGGTGCCGCTCCCACCCAGCTTGGAGAACCACACTCTGGTAAGGCCACCAGCACCAGCCACACATCAGAAAACACTCTGCCCCAAGAGGATGCACCACAGACCAGTGCTCCTCCTGCTAGTCCACCAGGAAGGTGAGAACAGCAAAGGAAAACCCCAAACACCTGCTGACTCCCAAGGGACAGAGAAGTGCTGCTTAATGTTGTTAGCACCTGCCAGTGAGAACCCCAGACAGTCATTTGACACCCCGTATCTTGTCCTCTGCATCACACGCACATAGTCCTGGGCAGACAACACAGGCATAAGAACAGACAACTGAAATGTGTGAGAGGATGGAAGTGGGCAAAAAGTGACTTAACCAGTTGCATAAATAAACCCTTCCGTGAGATCTGGGGCTGAATTTTGGTACTCCGCAGCATCCACTTGACCCACACAATTCCCTCCCTCAGCTCCTTCTTCACAGACCCCAGCCCTTCATCATTCCTTATGCAAATAGTTCTCTCATCTTCACTGTGGAAGAAGGACATTAGTGGGTGTAGAGCTTAGTGATGTATGCAGAGACAACAGGACTGGTTTTGTAATAACTTACTTCTAGATCAGGTTCATAGTCCAAAGGGAAAAAGAAAGCACTGAGGCAGCTGCTTTAACACTACTGCTTTAAGTGCTGGCACTGAATTGACCTTCAGCTGTGCCTAACTTTTCATTTAACATGCATCATTTGAGCCTTTAAAGTTGGAATCCACCTCACACTAGATTTCCAGATAAAACTGAAAATCTGGTGGTTTTCTGAGCATTTCATGATTAAAAAAAATAAGCAAACAATTCTTGTAGATATTAACACTCTGCTTAAACAAGCAGAAAAACAATTTAACAGAAGCCTGAATCATGCATTCATTTTTAGTATTTATTTTCCTATCACAGGAAACTACTGATTTATGCACCTTAAAAACACATTAAAACCCACAGCAGCCTTCTTGTGGGTGCCAAGAGAGAAACATGGGGTGAAATAGGTAAGGAAGGAAGAATATCTACTTCTGACCTTTGATGGGGTCAGCACTAAACCCCCAAAAGAGGACAATCTGTCATTTGTGAAAAATTAATAGCTTCCCCCCTACTGATTGTTCAATAAATAGATCCCTATTTTAAAAGTTCCTGTCAGTGGGACACCAAGCAAAAGTTGCACTACAGTGAGTGCTTCTTACCTACACAACAGCTGCAAAAGCCTGACTCAGATCCAGATCACTCAGATCTACTTTAAGTAAAACCACACCCCACCCACAATTAAACTCCTTTCCCTCAGTAAACTGAGTTGAAAAGCTTGAAAAAAAAAAAAATTGAACAGGATTACAGGCAAGAACGGAATCTTCTGTTTTGTGATGAAAAAAATATATCCCACAATGTCAAATACCTTCAGGCATCACCCTCTTTTAATTTCCACATCCCTCTGTACATCTGAAGTGTAGGTACTGAATTCCCAGCCATGCCATCGGTGACACTGTCTCAGTGTCCTGCAGCTGTGGTGACAGCACTCATGACATGTAGGGACAAAGACAAGTGTATTTTCCTCGTGGACAAGAAACACAGACAGACACATAAAATCACAGTAACATCTTTATTATAAAAATGCTTAAGTGTCCAAAAGTTTCTGGAGTACTATGGGACCTCCCTTTGTTTCAGGTACTTTTTTCATTCCATAATGCATACTAGAATTACTTTGTTACATACAGGACAGTTTGGTGTTTGTTTTTTGTGGTTTTTTTTTTTGTTGTTCTTGTTGTTTTGTTTTGTTTTTTTTAAAGTTCTCTCAAAATTCTAAGTTCCAGTATAAAGTATGAGGATTCATAGAAAAAAAAAAAAAAAAAAAAACAAACAAAAAAAACAGACAAGGCATTCAGCATTTTAATTCAGCTTTTCCTTGAAAACAACCTCTAGAAACTGTGTCAGCAGCTCAGTGTACACAATTAAAGCACATGGGAACTTAAGTCTCAAAAGAGAAAGCACTTTAGAAAGAGCAAAGGAAGTATCTGTTCTTTATAGCACAGTGCAATTTGAAACAAGCATCTGCCTGAATCAAGAAGCAATATCCACAAAGATACAACACAATTTGTTCTCAGATACAAAACATGACTGACAGGAATGGAATGATCCATAGACTGTGCAAAAAAAAAATTACAGAATTTAATGTCAAGGACAAATGCTTAATTTATACTAAAGATAGGAATTACTGGCTGCACATGCAAACTGAGGTAATCAGAACTGTCATTAGGTGGTTTGCATGTGCAAAAGGCTCCTTACTTATGTGCAGATACACTTTATACTTGAAAACACTGCCATTGACACTTAGATGCTTGCTTTGGAAAACATGAGCTTACTTACAAATTGTACTTACTCTCAAAGCCATTTTTATATTTCCCCAACATCTGAATACAGCTTCACATCAGGAACTACATAAAACCATGTAAGTTGTTTAAAAGATGTATGCTTAATAAAATAGCATCAGCAGTTCCTCAGTAGAAGCAGATGCATGAAATACCAACATGCCAGATGAGGCACCTTCCCCACAACCTTCCTTAAAAACTGATTTAGGGGAAAAAAAAATACAGAGCACTCCTCAAGCAAAGGCCATCTAACAGTGCACCTGAAGCATCCTCACAAAAGCTGAAATGACTCTGGTGTGTTCAGTGCAGGCTCTGCAGCACGCGGGCGCCTGCCTGGCATGAGCTTGCTGGGGCAGCATCCAAAGGCTGAACAGGAACAATCATTTGTGGATCACGGCCACATTGGGATCCCTCAGCCAGGGCTGAGTTCACATGCTACATATGTTCTGGCAATTAGTGTGCTTAGTTAGCTGACACATCTTTAAATTATGGTTAGTAATATATTTTAAAGCATCTAAAGAATTATTTAATAAGTGAAAGAGTGCTGGAAAACTACTTGGCCAGAAACTGTAGAAGCAGAGGCTGCTGTTTTACTGTGTACACTGCTTATGCTGGGATCAAGCCTTTTCTTTGTTTTAGTTAAGCATTAAATTCTACCATCAGAATTTGTTCCTCTTATTACTTTCAGATACTTTTTAAAAAGAGTCCCCTTTGAGGAATATGGTATACATTAAAAAGAAAAATTAAAAGTAAAATAAATGTTTGTTATAGACAGGAAGAGCAGAGGGTTGTCATGAAAAAAAATATCTTTTTTTTAATTAAAAAAGAAGGTCACTACAGCTGTAAAGAGCAGTCTAAGCTGAATATTCACTTATGTTTTCTTAGAATGGCACCAGCGAACCTAGATATGCAAAGTAGCCTGTTCTGTGCTTTGGAGACCAAACCTCAAGCAACGCTTATGTACAGGAGCATCCCTACCTACAGCAGACTCCTCTGTATGATCAGGTTAGAGGATGCAGTTGCTGAACTGGATCTTCTAACCAGCACAGGATCAGGGAAAAAGATGAAAAACTGATTCTTCAGCTGTGCACACCATTTAAAAACAACAAAAAAAAAAAAATCCAACCCCATCAGCACAAACAAGATACCTAACAAGGCACTGAATTCATTTAATCTTCTTGAATACAAAGCTGATTTATTAGGCCCTGACTGGCTCTTTTACACATTCATATGCACAGTAAATAAGAAATATAAAATCTGTTTGGTACTTGGAAGGTATTAATGTTCATTCACATCCAAGTCTACAAAACAAACTGAGGTAAAAGGCATAGCCTTCAAAGTTACTAAACAGAGCTGGTGAGCACGCATGTGTGTAAACACAGCTGCTGCAAGGATTTGGCATCAATCTGATACAGCAAAGCATTTTTTTTAGAACATACTTCATAGCTGACGTTTCAGTAATGTCAGTCTTTATAATGAATCTGACAGACAGATAACTGATTTGGGGGGGAAAGGCCTCCCTTCTCTTCAAGAATTTCCTAGCACTTCTGCTTTGTTTTCATCAAGTACAAAGGGCGATGGGAAGTCTTTGTTCTTCACATACACCTCCAGACCCTGAGAATGTGTGAGAACAGTACCGTTAGCTTGTAAATACAGACTGGATACCTGCACTATTTTTAAGTCTACATAATGTCCTCAGAAAATGACCAACTACTCAGAGTTAAAAGGTCACCAGGAGAACAGACAACAACAATTTCCCAAGTGACAGAGATGAAAAGTGTTTCAGCCCCAAGCTGGGGGCTCAAAAAGAAGAGGTACCAATAAACCATAAAATAATGGATCTCAGAAGCAAGCTTCCTGGGGAAGGGCAGGCATGGGAAGGCGTGTCCTCAACTCACATTAGAATAATCCTAGCAAAGAAAAGTCAACTTAAATTGCCTTGCTTTCATTTTGCTCTTACAGATTGCAATGAGTTCACTACCTGCATGTGAAAACCTAGCAAAGATATAAAGTTTTCTGAATGCCCTTCCTTACAGTGCCCATGTATCCTTCCTGCAATCCACTATTTCTCACCCTGTCTGTCCAACATAGGGAAGCTCCTCTTTCCACTTCTAAATGGAAGCAGCTTTACTAAGACCAATTATTTTCAGAGGGACAAACAAGAAATTTAAGACATGGTTCCTCTAAAACCAATGCTTTAGGGAACTTCACACTTCTCAATCCATATACACTCACAGTATAAATGGGCACAAATTAACATACAGTCGAATATAGTGACCCCATGGATTTTGTAATTTGAATGTTCTGCACTTTTCATTCAGAAGATCTCAAAGTACTTCTGAGTCTTAATGAACCTGTCCTGCCTCGTCGCAAATCTCATTTTACAGATGATTAAAACTGAGTGAATAAACTGATGAAGAGTAAACCATAGTGGAACCACAAATGTAACAGGGCCAAAGCCTTAGTTCCCTTGATCTTACCATTTCTCAGCAAGCCTAAGCTAGAGGAATCCCCTGCATTTGGAAAGAAATCGGATGCATACCTGCACACTCTTAAAAATACATCCACAGATAATTATTCTCACCTCTCCAAAGTAAGACACTAACGGAGAAATCTCACACACAACCGGAAGATCTTCAGTTCCTGAGAGACTGGAGAAGAGAACACAGGATTAACTTCTTGCTGTGCTTAAAAAAAAACCTGTGCATCTTCTTTGAAAGATCATCAAGAATAAGATATTCAGAAGGATAAGACATCTGCCAGATTCATGTGCACCAGACATTATTCAAACACAAAGTGTGAAAATAAAGGAGAATTATCAGGTTCCAAGTATTTCTCATCAAAACAAGAACATGCTTCTAGAGGTGCTTTTCAAGTAAAATGAACAGCTTGTCAGTTTATTAAACTGCGAGTTGATGAAGTAATAGCCTCACAGAGTAAAAGCAGTTTCCTGTTCCACGTGATTGCAGGAAGTATCTGAATTGGTAATTGCTATAATAGCTGATACTTAAACCCACCTGGGAATGTTCCCAAGCTTTAAGCATTGGGGCCATATTCACAAAAAAAAAAACGGCTAGGACTACAGATTACAATTCCTTGGGCTGGATAAATCCAGAATGATAAAGAGGGTTGTCCCAGCCTAATGAGCTCCTATAGGAGGAGTCAACTCACAAGCCCAAGGGCAGGAATCTCTGCCAGAGATAAAGCCCAGAGCAATGTGCATTACTGTTGAGAGCACTCGAAATCACTAACGGAGCAGGAGTTGTAATAGACATCACTCTGCATGTTCAGAAAAGACCAGCTGAATGAAAATCATGCCAAGTCACCCTGCAATCAAACTAATGTCTGGTTTTGTAGAGCACAGTACATGCCGTTTAGCCAGCTGCCGTGCTGGGCAGTCACAAGCAGAGGAGGTCACAGAGGTTCATACCCGAGTTTCTCTGGTATCCTGCAACCATTTTCATCCAGAAATCTGGCCCCAGCCTTGAGAGCCCAGCGGTAATGCTGGGCCAGGAGGGCTTGCCGAGCAGTGGTAGGAGTGTCTTTGTCAGCTGTGTCTCCATTTTTTAGTGGAGAGAACTCCTCTTCTCTCAAAACTTCAAATGCCACAAAATTCCTACCGGCAAAAGGGAGAAAACGATTATAATGAAAAACAAAGCTAGCCATCAGCCCTGTTGATGTGACAACAACTTTCATGGGGAAAGGCTCATATATATTTTGGGGAGCAGCAATGTATGCAGCCTGGGGCAGTCAAGCTGAGGAAAGCCCACCTCCCATCTGAAAAGCAAAGCAGTACCAGAGCTGTATGGTGGAAAACCACAATAAGAAGCCCAGTTTCTGGGAACGTAACAGCAGCTTCATGACCCTCCAGAGCTGTGCACAGGTAAGAGGAAAAACAACAGTTCTGCAGAGATCCCACAGAAACCTCTCCAGGCACTGTGAAGCTCATGGACAAAAAGTCTCAGCTAAGAGCACAGCAGGATGGAGAGCAGCAACAATGCCTGAAGCTCAGACACAGCACCAGGCTCTGTGGCTCACTTCAGAGCACCACATGCCTGCTCCAAGAAATGACTGCTCCACTTGGGAGTCTGTAGGCAAGGATCAGCTGAGGACACCAGTCCCCAGGGATGAACAAACAATATGGAAGGATTCACAGTTGAATGTTAAGTACAGCTATTTACCAGAAATGGAAATGCAAATTAAAAAAACCCACAGCAGCTGTGCATTTCTCCACTTCAGATGTGAAGAGCAGCTGCCAAGCTGGTTTTGCAGTATTACGTATTATTTTAAAAGGACAAGGAATCACTGATTGCAAATGAGTCCTTTCAAAGCTCAGAACTCGGCACTGTTTCCATCACACTGGGTTTGCCTTTGGTATGATACTGCTTTACTGAACGCTTACCAGGAAACTGAGACCAGTTCAAACCCTGAGCTCTCTATCCTAAAGTAAATCCTCTAAAAATAAACATACTGTTCCCAAAGATAATTCAGTTTGCCTGAGGTCTCTTTCTGCCACTTATTTAAGCCTAAAACAGAATCTTTACTGCTGAATTCAAGACCTTGGGAAATAGGTTTTATAAGAACAGTTACGCTAAACTCCTAAATTATTTAAATCCCATGTTCCCTAAACACAAAGTACCCCTGACTGCATGGCACAGTACTCTCAGCTATGTGTTAGAGCTTGGCAAGTCAACACTGATAGTTCCCACAGCAGCAGTAACTCGGCCCCATGGTTCTTAAGCAACCTGTTTTCCAAGCACCGAAGGTATGAACTGTGTCCTGGCATAACACACACCAAAAACATAACCAGAGCTGCAGTTGCCATGGAAGCCACAATCCTGAAAGACCCCATTTTTGTGAGTCTGAATGCTCCAACATGGGCTTGGATTAAATGTTGCCTTTGCACTCAATTTCCTTCTTTTTCTTTCTTTCCCAGGGCTGGCAGAGGCCAGGCCAGCCAACACATCCTCAGTGGAACAAACAGTTCAGGGAGCATGGTTAGAGCGAGCCCGGCTCCTGCTGAGCACCCTGTGACCATACCTCTCAGAGCCTGTGGCATTACTCTTGTGTTGGGGCTTGGTATAAATCCAACAGCCTAACAAGCCACCCACAAACCACACGCTCTGTAGCAAGGCCTGTTACAACCTATAGTCATCCAAACAAACATTGAGAAGGGGAGGAAAAAAATAAAATCATGTCTGCCACTAACTTAGAGAACTGGAACACATCAAACACAAACTTCTCCAGCTTTATCCCGTTCGGTTTTAGGGGTTTTACCAGATTTCCCTCCTCGTCAATGTAGGGCACCTTCTTTATGGCTACATGATGCCTCAGCTGCGGCTCATATTTACTGCAAAAGGAGAAGAAACGAGTTCATTTAGTTCATGCTTACTTAGAAAAAAGTAGCACACTTCTGGGAAATAGATGGCTTATTAGTGCTCTGGGTCATCTCTCAACTGTTGTGGGTGTTGCTTTCTCCAAATTGATCCAAGTCACATCCAGGAAACACTTCACTGAGCAGAGTAGCCCAGCCAGTGGCAGTCCCTGTACCAGTGGGACATGACAGGGTAAAGCAAGAGGAGAGGGAGGACCTAGTGTCAAGCTGAAATTTCAGGCAAAGATGAAAAAAGGTAATCCAAATTATTATCTGACCTGGATGACAATGGAGCAGAGCAGACCCCTCACACAAGGGTGGATCAAAGTCTTCAGGAAGGTCATACAGCTGCTCGCTGAATACCCAGCATCACAACCCCATCTCCCAACACCACGGTGCAGAGTCCTTCCCCAGCTTCACCCTCTCCTGTCCGAAGGGATGGCATGGGTGATACTCCCATTAAAAATAGTGTGGGGCTGCAGCACTGGCCACACTGCAGCCCACATGTCTGCTCACCCAAGAAAGTCATGCATTGGTGTATCTTAGTCAATTTAGCTACAGCAAAGCATGTGATCTCTTCATTGAGTAAGGCCTGAAGAGCACCCTGGGGCTGTCAGGAAGGAGACACAGCTGTTTTGAACTGTTTGGAGGAGAGAGGAGGTGAAGAGTAGAGCAGGAGTTACCCATAACTGAAATTACAGTGGGCAACAAAAACACACACTCTTGAAGGCATTTCTGGGCTGCACGCCTGCCTAGCAGGTCTGATGGAACTTACTGGGCCACTGTCTCCAGGAACTCAACTGTGAAGAAATGGTTGCAGATATTGCCAGTACTGTACATCAGTCTCCCATCAGGGCTTTGCTGCTGCGCAGTCTCCAGGCTGATCTCACTGTATTCCACCACCTGGTAGACCCCATCCACACAGCACACTACCCCAACAGGCTCTGTGGGGTAAGCCTTCTCCACCACCTGTAGCCACAGGACATAGGGCTATGACAAGGAAAAAGAAAATCCCAGCACTATTCCAACTCTCGTGTACAAATGATCCTCCAGCACCTGAGGAGCACAGGCAAGGCAGTGCTGGGTATACAGAGTAGCCTAGAGGCACATTTTGTCCAACAACTAGGCATAAAACCCAGTACTCGATCATGTAATTGCACAGTTGCTCAGAAAACAAAACAGTTAAAAGAAATCAGCATACTGTGGGGCAGTTTTCTTATCAAGGACTGAGACCTGGCATTAAATGAAAAAATGTTTGCAGCTATTATTAGCCTTCAGCTCCCTGTCTGCATGTACAGTGTTAATGATTAAAGTAATATAAATCTCTCCTCAGGCACCTGATGCTTTGGGGTGACAAAACCAGGCTGGTTTGCCTTTCCCCACCTTCCACAGTGGGGCATAAGGAATAACTCCATTAGACTTAAAGGTGCATTTATAAAACACAACCCAGTTCAATACAACTTCCAGATAGTCCATATATCTTTGTAAAAAGGGCAGGGCATAAAGGAGAAGCAATTCCAGCTTGTCATTTCCTGTGCAGTTACAGTCTCTGCTCTAACTGAAGTTTATTTTCCACAGCACTCTCGGATGAGCTGAGGACACCCATGGGTAGAGGTTCTGAATGCAACACAGGCAGCAAGCAGTTCTAAATCTGCTTGGAACAAGTCACTGTCAGGCAGAGGTCTGAACACCCCTGTTCATCTAAGCTCACCCTAGCCAGGAGCTTCCAAGTGTAATCACACCTTAACTCCCTGTGGTGAAATGGCCCAGCATTAACACCACCTCACCTTTGCACCACAGTCCGCCCCTGTGGAAACACAGAAGCCTATGAAGACTGGATCTGCCATTTTCACAAGGATATTGTCCACACAGTATACATGGACATACTGGATTCCACGCTGCTTCATGTCATCCAAGATCTTATTATCCACCAAAGCACGGTATAAGCCACCATTGCCATCTATAATGCAAAAGAAAAGAGAAAGCCCTGGTTAATTTAGTGACTTTGTGGGTTTTTTGTTACTAATAGAGAAAAATCTGAAAGCCTTGAACAAACTTTATATAACAGCAAAGCAGGGATTGCTTTCTAGCCAAGAGTCAGTGCTACCAGATTTTATTTCCAGATCTGCCATGCAGTTCAGGCAAGGCTGTTCCCCTCCACACCCCAGCTCCCTCACCTGCAGAGTGGCACCGTGGGGACCAGCCTCATAGAAAAGCACTATGAGACTTTATGAAGCCTCTGAGGATCTTCTGATCATATCTTATGATCCTCAGAGGGCAAACACTGAAAGGCAAAACGTTATGCAGAGAGTGGGAAAAGCCTGTTACATTTCTTCTCTTCCAGTGCAGAGCAAAAGCACATTTAAAACTCAGCTTGAAGAAAAAGACTAAAATAAATCTAATTTTCTATTTATCTTCCCCCCTCAATTTCCCAATGCCTTTTTAAAGGCTTGAACTGCAGCCGCACAAGAGACACCTGCACATTCGTACATCATGCTTTCACAGTTCCTCCCCTGACACCTGTCAAATCAGGAAAACCACTCTGCAGCCACAAAACCGCATCACTGCAACATGGCCCCAACCGGGCTGCCTTCACCAAGTCCCTTAACACGTCCAGGTTAAGAGAAGAGAACTTTACTAGGTGAGACATTGCAATCATTTTGGAAAGAGTTAATCTTGCTGCTTTTTTACCTTATCAGCCTTGAATGGGAGGGAGCCTGGCTCCTGACAGCTTCACCCCTGGGAGGCAGCACCCCAAGGACCTCAAACACAGCCCTGCTAATGCACATTGTTCCTAACCTGCAGCTGTCCCACTCCTAATCCTGCTAACACCCCCAGGCTTTGATAAAAACCATGTGCTATGGGCAAAGCTCCAGCAAGAACTAAACAGATTGCTACACTATTGGTTACCAGCCTGAAACATTTAACTAAACCCTTCCACACTAATCAGAAGCATTAACACTGACCTCCAAAGACTGTTCCATGTGTCAAGGCTGGCTGATGGCTAGGAGCAATTATCAACACGTATTACATTACTGTACCATGTAAGAGTGAACAGTGGGGGGTACCTGGAGCCATAGCAATTTTCCCCTTCTCCTCCAAGATGGCCTTCCCATCAAAGGTGACAGCGGGCAGCATCCTCTGTTCAAACATAACCACATTGGATCTATCCAGGTTGAAGTAGTCATGTTCTACAAAGAACTTCTCTGTCGGCCCCAGCGTGAACTCACTTGTCATGATGTACCTGGGTAGGAACAGGTGCTTGAGCAATGAGCAAGAAAAGCACAAGCAAAAGTCAAAACTACAAATGGAACACAAAAGGAAGGAAACCCAAGAGTGTTAAATGACACTACAGTATCCTCGGTATGCAACCGAGCAGGAGAGCTCTCCTCCAGAACTCATCCCACAGGAAGGCTGCACAGGGTCTTGTGCATGATCCTAACCACAGGCTTAGCTCCAGCCAGGATAGAAGAGCCTTTCACTAAATGTGAATGACATCTGGATATCCGGATGAGCTGGAAAACAAGGCAAAGGACAGTACAACAGCCTCGTTCACCCTAGATTCAAACTGATGTTAAGTGTTTAAAGAAGCCTTGACCAGCACAAAGTGCTGAGAATGATCTGTGAACCCCTAGCAGCTCAGTCTGTCAGCACCTCTTCTGTGCCAAGGGAAAGAGCAGCATTTTCAAACATTGACTGCATGATTTGTTTGTCTCTTAAGTTTCTCTATTTCTTCCTTTCCTTCCAGATCCACATTGCTGCTGACTCTCCCTCCACTATCTTTCTTCTTCAAACAGTAGCTAAGAGCCATCTTCCTCATCTACCTGTCAAGCACTTCAACAACTATTGGCATAGGCATGTAGGGTCCTCTGCCAGCATGCCAGGGTAATCAATCCCTTGCACAGGAGAGACTCGACCTCACACACTCCCCAATTTACATCTTGGCAGCACAGCATAGCCTGGCCTCTGAGGTACTGTAGCAGCCATTTGCATCCTCAGCCCAGGGAGAGGAACTGTAAACATTATTAGCAAATGTCAAATCCTACAAACAACCCATCCTGGTTTCCAGCAGCACCAGGGATGGGTCATTTGCAATTCAGGTCATGCATGCATGGCTTCAGAAAGAAACACAATGTGGACTGGAATCACCTTCAATCTCCAATTTGTAAAGGAATGTGCTACCCTTAAGACCTTGCTCTTTCACTCTTCCCAAACTCTGGCTCAGACCAGACAGTAATTTCATAAAGGTATCTCTTCATGGTCTAACGAAGAACACTTAGCAGAAAACATTCCCAGAAGCATGCTGCAGTGCCTTCCTCCCTCTCACCCACCACATTCCACAGGGAATTCATATTTTGCATCTTGCAGAGAACAAGTCTCTTCTGAAGCCTTTTGAAAGCCAGGAGCAGCCAGGAGAGACTGCAGTCAGATGTAAATGACAGCAGGAGGTAGCCTGAAAATGGAGAATGACAAACATTTACTGCTGCAAGGGGAAGAGTTTTTTAGCTGTGGCAGAAATTGCAGGCAAGGGGAGGCAGAGGGTCTTGGAAGGTGAGCTCTAGGTAATCTCCCTCCCTGCAGGAACCTGAGAAAGAATGGCACAATCATATGAAAATTATTGCAAAGCATCTGAAACAGGCACTGAAAAGTGCTGGTTATAGTGTTGTCAGGGACTGTGCTTGAAAAGACAGCACGATACAGCAGTTACAGTACTGGTCAATGATACAAGGGCAGTGTTCAGTCCCTCGGGTCTGCAGACATGGACCTGCCACTACCCATCCCTATGCACCCTCCTCCAGCTGCTGGCATCACAAATCCTGCTGACAAAAGGCTCTCCCTAACGTGTCTCTGTACAGCACCCAGCAAAGTGCTTCTAGAAGACAACATAGGCAAGATTGAAATGCAAAGACAGTAGGTCTGTGGCTCCAGGTCACCTACCAGGGGATGGAACACTTGCAGTGGTATCTCTGGCCAGCAAGCTGCTCCACTTTGCGGATTCTTTCTGCTTGGATCTGATACAAGGTCTTGCCACTGGGCAACCCCACGTTGTACATGCCCTTGGGATAGCTCACGCCCAGGCGAGTTCCTTGTCCTCCAGCCAGGAGTAGCACTGCCACCTTGTTTTGTGAGATCAGATGCAAGCCTGAACAGGAACATAAAGGCAGGTAAGAATCACAAAAGCAACCAACACCCTCTGCTTTTCTCCTGAGCCTTTCTGCAGACCTCAGGCAATGGCCAGAAGCTGCCAGTTCAATCCCCACTGCTGGCAGTTCAGACAGAAATATGATGCTGCATGAAATACAAAAAAAAATTATTTTAACTCTTTGATGCAGCAGCTTCCTCACCTAAAGCAGCGGATGGTGTAACAACAGGGAATGGCCATGAGTTGCAGCTCAGGAGGTTCAAACTGGTCATTAAGATAAAAATTTTTACTGGGAAGGTGGTGCAGCACTGGAAAAGAGATCCAGAGAGGTGGGGATGCCACTTAAGGATTTCAGGGCTTACTTCGATAAAGCCATAGCTGACCAGAGCTAGGACTGGGTACGGTCCTGTTCCAAATAGGGGCTGGACTAGAGACCCCCAGAGGTCCTTTATCACCAACATTTCTACATCCCAAAGAAGTGAAGTCTCATCATCTTCCGTAAAGCATGGACATTTCTGGAAACTGTCTTAATCAACTATCTGTACTTGTGCTGCAGCTTCTGTTTGGCTGCAGTCAGGACTAATGACACAGCCAAACCTGCAGAAGCCAGAACTCCCACAATCTAATTAAAAACAATATAATTTCTCCCAAAAAAACAGGAAAGTCCAGAACTTGTGGAAGAACCAGACCACATAATAAACACTCAGTTCATTCACAGCCTTTGTTCCCTGCCTTCTCTCAAGCCAGCATCACACTAACAAATGACTACTGTGAGGAAGATTTTTCCTTACGGAATGCAGTGAGCTCTGGTCTATCCAGGTCAACAGCCACAGCTCTGCTGCTGTACAGTAGCTATTGGAGCCTTTTGCAATCTAATGCAAGAAGTCTCATGCACATCACCGAGCCTGACACTGCGCCCCACGGTCCAGGATAGCCTGTGTTTCACCTCAACCTCAGAGAAGATGACAAACACCCAATTTGAACCAGATCTGGGACTAAAATATTCCTGACTTGTACTGAAAGGCACGGGGACCAAAGATATTGAATTAGAAGGAAAACAGGATTGTTTTAATGCTAACCTTTAAATTATTGGCTGTTTAAATGAGCAATAGAGGGAAAATACCAATTGCCGCTCTAACAACCTGGCTTGGTTTTAATTCTGTTCAGAAATCTACCTTTCAGCAATAAAACCAACCGTAAGTCACGCATGATGTTGTGGTAATACTGTTGACCTCCCCATGCTTACAAGTTTCAGCCCCACCACAGCTGTAACACAATGTTTCTGCTTAAACATACTCTTTCTGAAAAGGCTGGTAACACCTGCCCAGGCACACAGAAGGAAGCTGGTTATGCAGCCCTGCCACTGCTTTGCTGCAGAGCGAGTTTCTTTGTGCCCATAGAACTGCCAAAGTTCTCCACCTCTGGAGATCCATAGTCCACCCTCCTGCTCCAAGTGGGATTAGGAGAGGTCTTGAGTGGGAAACCTGTGCTGAAGGTGACAGTCTTGGGATTTCAAAGTGTCAGGAGGTCCTTGGATAGATGGGGAAGCTTGAATGGGTTTAAACTTAAAATTTAAAAGACACAGGTGGCAGCACTGTGGGTGAGCTGTACTGCAGTGCAAATAATCATAATTTTATGCAACAAGCCACAAGCAATTAATGGCTTTGCATCTTTACTGAACTTCCCATCATAAAAGACTTAAAGCACAGAGCAGGAGATCTAAGGTATTAGTTATGCCACTATTACTCACTCTGGTCCCAGACAAATGGTTTGCTGCCACATGCTCAGCAGGCTGTTTGCCAGCACATGGCACCATCGTGGGAGAAGGGAAGGACCTGAGTGAAGGGCCACAGGAGCATGGCTCCAGGCCTCCCAGTGCCCTGGCTCAAGTGGTGGCTGTCCCCACACCTGGATCTGGCACAGAGGCAGCAAACTCGTGCAGGAGGGAAGCATGCGAGCAAGACCTGTGCTTTGCACACAAGCCTGGCTCACTGCAGCCACACAGCCCCGGGGGACACAAAGCTGGGTAAAACCTTCTTTCCTGTGAGCCCCCTCTTCCTTCCCGTCTCTCTCCACCCCACACAGACACAAGAGATTCAACGAACCAACAGCCAGGAGTGCTCAGCTGCTGAGCTGTCCCTTGAGTCCACATTCCCGCCAGGACCAGCTCCACCATAACCTCTGCTTGCACCCGTGCCTGAGGAGCTGTGGGATAGGGCAGCGAGGAATTACAGACCAATGGAGGGGTCAGCAGCAATGACAAAATTACCACTGGGGAGAGGAAGGGAAAGTGATTGCAGTTAGAAAACAAAGCCAAACTCTTCAGTTTGGGTCACTCTTGTGGCAGCCACCCCGTCCTGGGGCAGGGCAAGGAGAGGACAGTCACGGCTGCGGATGAAGCAGTGACTCCTACCATGAGCGAGGACATGGTTGCACAGATCCTGCCTGTTCCCTTCCCCTGCTTTATCCCAGGAAAAGGAATAACAACTGTCATTGTCCTGCTGAGCTCAACCATGGGCAGCTCAGCATGGGGAGCTGATTTGCCACTCCACAAGGAAACACCTCTCTTCTGGCCAATCTATCCCTGAGCAAACTTAATCTTGTCCTCTCCACAGTAACGATAAGCTTCTCAAAGCACAATAAATAGCAGTGTTTGAGCAAAGAAGAGCCATTGGCCATGAACACTGGCAAAAATGTACTTGATGTCATTCCCACGGCCAAATATGACACTGGATGAGTCACCCTCCAGTGATTCCCAACTGTATTTAAAACCCACAGCAGATCAATGCAGGTCTGGAGACCTGGCCATGGGAAGGGCTCTGCGCTGAATGTCACCCTGCCACAGCTGCCCAGGGCTGAATGAGTACCATCAGAAAGCAGCCTGAAACCACCGCATGCATGTGCAGGGCCAGCAAGCATATCCTACTGGGCAGAGGAGATAAAACAGTGATGTGTGTGTTTGTGTGTGTATATATATACAGTGCCCCACATCAGTTAGGAGAGTCACAAGGGCAGCTGTGTGAAAAGAAAGACACAACCTTCCTCTGGCATCAAAAAGACCAGCAGTCCCCCCAAAAAAGCAAACCTGAAGCTCTCTAAAGACCAGAACAGCCTTGGACTGAAGTTGAAGGCTAAGGCACATGGTTAATAAAATCAAAGTACCCAGCCACATCCCCCTCAGGACTGCTCCAAGTAGTGGTGCTCCATGGATAACACCAACCAGGCAGAGCGAGGCACTGAGTCATGGTGCAGCTGCAGCACATTCATCACCTGCTTCCATCGACATGACACTCCTCCATGCTCCAAAGCCGAGTACTTGGTACTTAGTGCTCATCCTTACCTAAGCCTTGCCTTACTGCAGGGCTGGGGCAGGGAGGATTTCTTTGCTTGGCCTTGCATATGTCAGCAAGGCAGCACCGTGCCAGGCTGGCAGGCTCCTTCTAACAAACCTGTCCCAAAATGTCCTAGTGGAAAAAGAAAACTTAAGGGAGGGAAGAATTTATGGAGGGGAAAAAAAACAAACAAACAAAAAAAACCACAACACACTAAAAAAGTTCCTGTGGGACATTCCCAAACTAAACTATTCTGTTTCAAACAGGCAATAAAAATATTTTTTAAAACGTACATAATCTAGAACTGAAGCTGCATGAGCTAAGGTATTTCACATTGACTGAAAAGAAAGCTGTCTGAGGTCTGAACTCAGCATTTGCTGGTCTCAGTTGCTGCATAAAGGTGGGTGTTGCTTTGGCACGCAACTGAGATTCATCCACCAGTGGACCATGACAGGCGCCCACTCCGCTCCATCCCCGCCAGGCTCGCACCGACACGCACTCTGGCCCTGATGCGATGGACCACATCCCACTGATCTCAGATTAAAGGTTTATGCGCAGCAATAGACTGTAGCCAAGGGGCATCTTTCCCACGAAGGAAGCTCTGTAGTGAACGAAGCTCTGTAGTGAACGCTGTATCAGAAAAGCCTGCAAAGTGCACGAGCGGCTGTGATCTTCAGCCACAACTCAAGGCTGCCAGGGCTGGTGTCTGCCCATTGCAATGGAGATGTCCCAGAAGAGATGGCAATTCTCAGAAGTTTTCTCTGTGGTAACAGGAAGAAGGAATCTGCCCAAGGGCCATTTGGAATCTCACATCCACCTCCTCCTGAAGGGGCCTCTCGCTGCAGGGACTGAAACCTTGACCTAAGCAGGATGCACCCAGATCCAAAGCAATATCACTGGTAACATCAAGGTTGTAACTCTTTCTGTTCCACAAGTCCAGTAGACTGACGGGGACATATTCCCGGGAGAGGGCTGACCACAGCGTACATGAACAACACAGCAAAAGGACTCTCCTTCCCATCACTTATGGCACTCTCAGTATTTATGTTGCAACCCTACAACTATTGGAGAGTTTTTCAAAGTTTCTGATCTTAAGTTGCCATGAAAATGAATATCCCCAAAAACATGAGTAATTAAGCCTGCTCTGACTTCCCAGATGTAAAACTACTAATATTCATGAGTAAAGTTCGTAACAACTGACTCATCTTGCTGCATATTCCTGCAGTAAATGGAAATATTTATCCCTCTTAAAAAAAAAAAAATCTGCCTTATTTCCTGCAGCATATGAACAGCTCAAACAAACAAAAAAACCAGATTTCTTGACTGTTAGATAGCCATCAATGCTACAGTAAGTCTTATTCTGCATAGAATGTAAAAAACAAAAATAGATTTTGCAGGAAGAACAGATTGATTTTGCAAGAACAGATTGAATTCTCCTGCTGAATGGGCATATCAGCAGTAAGCAAGAGAAGAATAAAGCAAAATACCCAAAATCCTTAATTCTGCAGAGCAGTTGGGTAACCAGAATGGCTTGTCAATCCCTCTGATGAAATGGGAGCTACGCTGCAGCCCATGCCCAAGACTTAGATTTCATTAATAAAAGATTTACAGAATGTAAAAGCACCTGTGCTTGATTTACAGCATCATCCCTAAGGCTGCCTAGAAAATGTGATCGCTTAATGTTTATGTTTAAGATCTGAAAGCAAATCTGAACAGGCTAAGTTTTTTCTCAGAGACGATAACAATGACCTTTTTTTCTTTAACTATTAAAAAAGTATCTTGGATGTTCCAAAGACTAAGTTTAGAGTTGCCTGGTTCTCTTAACCATCATTTTTTATCACAGAAAAGCAGGAAGGGGAAAGGAGGAGACACAATTTCAGCTGTTCAGTCTTTGCAGAAGACACGCTGCAGTCTAGAGCTGCTAGGAACTCAAGACAGCCGCAGACAGAGCACAGATGAGCTCAGCTCAGGGGTGACCCCGGCACTGTAGCCAAGGGCTGTATCAGCCACGCAGCCTCAGGGACATCGAGCAGCTGGGGTCTGGACTGCTGTCTCTGCTCTTATCCAGCTCAACACCACAAGCAGCTCACTGGAAATAAGAGCTTTCCAAAACCTGCATCCCCTCAGAGATCCACAATCCCCACAGAGCCTGAGCCAACAATGCCGGCTCCGCTGGGAAACGCCGTGCAGGGGCACGGGGATGAGGCCACGTCCGCAGGGACACGCAGCACGCCAGCGCTGCCCGGGTTCAGCAGCACTGTCTCACTCCCGATTGCCCTCCTCTGGAAAATAAAACCTGCTGCTGATTCCCATCTCCAGCATTAAACTGGATCAGAAAAACAAATCAAAGAGAAGCAGAAGAACTACGTCCCCCTCTCCTGGTAGAAACCAAGAAACACTGTCTGCAGAATTGACACAGCTCAGGGCTGTCTGGACTTCAGGGCCAGGCAACCTATGTGCAGTGCTGGTGGTCCCAAACACACCAGACCTTCTGGTCTCCTGCAAGCATTGCTCACAGCAAGTGAGGCCAGCCCCACGCAGTTTTACTTCCCTTCCCTACTACAGTCAGCAGCACAAGGCATATATGCCAGCTCCTCACTGGCTTGGCAGGGCAAAAGACCAAGGACTCAGTTTGGTAAAATTGTTAATTTAACTGTGCTGCCCTGACCTAGACCCATTTGCTTTTAGGATTCATCAGTTCCCTTCCCCCTCACCACAACACCCTCAAGCAAGAGGCAGTGACCACCATCCAAGCAGGTCCTCTACCAAACCCCCCTGGGGGGCCACCGTGGTGCTGGCTGGGTTCTGACACCCTTTTCTGCTCAGCTGGAGATGAGAACACAGCTGGTGGAAACACCGGCTGGACCAAGCACACGTGGCCACTGGCTCGCCAGAGTTTCCTCCTACTCCCTCCATCACCACTCAGCCCTATCAGCAGGGTCTGATGTGGCAGAAAAGCTCCTCTGGCCTGTGACCCTGCTGCTTCTATTTTTGATTTTGTCTGGAAACTTTTACTCCCCTGCCCACACATCCCCACCTCTTTGCTGGCAGGTTTAGGTCAAGGCTGTGCAGATGCTTGCCACAGTTTAGGCAAGTGTCTCTCTGACCACAGCTGTTTTTTTCTGTCTTCCTTTTTTCATTATGATTATTTTTTAGCAGTGCTGTTAAGTTATATACAGGAGGGGAGACACATCTGAAGCTATGTAAATAAATAAAATAGAGCATGCACTTAGAAAAAAGCAGAGAATGTCCATATAAGACATCCATGCTGCAGGGGGAACACAGCACCCCACATCCATCCACCACCTCCCCCATCACCCCATCGTTCACAGGGTGACCGAGGAAAGCTGCTAGCATCTACCGGGCTCCAAAACCCACAGATGTTGGGCTCTCCTGGGCTTCTTCCACACTACCCATTCACTCTGCTCCCCGATCTCATCTCCCTCCTGCACCACACGTTGCACAGCCTGGATGGGGCTCTGCACCAGCCCCCACTCCAGCACGAGACCTGCCTTTGCATCTGTAAGCGGTCTGGGAGATCACCCCCATACCCCGCTGCAGCTTCCCATTTCAGCAGCAATACAAAGCCTCTGCTCCCACCCCTCCCAGGGACTTCACCTCCACCTCTGAGGCACAGCCTTATCCTGTGTCCTGCTGACCAGATGCTCTCCAGCCTCGGCCACTGTATTTAACAGCTAAGAGTGAAAATTCAGTGTCTCGGCCCCAAAGTGCCCCCCACAACCCCCGCTGTACACCGGGCAACTGGCTGCCCTCGTTCAGGGCCCAGCAGTACAGCTGTAAGCCCAAATCTCTGCCTGCCTCACCATCACCCTCCGCTCCCGCTCGCCTCCCCGCTTCCTGACACCAACCCCGCCTCCCCCAAGACAAAACCCAGCGCCGCTGTGCAGGCTGCTAAGTGCCACCCCAAAGCTGGTGCCGCTGGATACAGCTCCGTGCTGCGGGGACCCCAGCAGGCACAGCCTGCGCCGGCCGAGGCTCCGCGGGATGCTGCGGGGACGTCGCTGCCGCCCGAGCCCCCCCCGCCTGGCACCAGGCCCAGCGCTGGACCCAGCCGAACCGGCCCACTCCCGCTGGCGCCAGGCCGCGCTCTGTCGGCCTTAAGACAGCCCCTGTTGGTTTTGGGGGACGTGTCTCGGTACTTCTGGCACCGGCTCGCAAGCGCGCCAGGCCGGGCCACCCGCCGAGAGCGGCCGGCGGCACCGGAACCGACGCCCCGGTGCCTCCCGCCCCAGCCCTCGGCCCGGCCGCGCTCCTGAGCCCGCGGGCCTACGGGCCAAGGCCGAACGCAGGGCCCGGAGCCGGGGCGCCCGGGACAGCCGGCCCCGCCCGCCGCTCACCTTCCGCCTCCCACCGCTCCAGCGCGGGTGGGCCGCTGCGGCGGGCGCTGCCCAGCCGCCGGGCGGGGAGCGGCTCCATCCGGCCGTCCAGGCGCTCCGGCGGGCCGCGCTGCCGGGCCCCGGCCGCCGCCGCCGCCAGCCGGCAGTGCTCGCCCAGGCCCGGCGGCAGCGCCGCCAGCAGCGCCTGGCGCTGCCCCGGGCCCAGCTCGGGCCAGAAGCGCAGCAAGTGGCTCTGCCCGCTCCGCGCCAGGCGCGCCCGCACCTCCTCCGGCGGGGTCATGGCGCCTCTGCCCGCCAGCGGACGGGGGCGGGGCCGGCGCCGGGGGGCGGGGCCGGCGCCGGGGGGCGGGGCCAGCCCCAGGGGGCGGAGGCAGCGCCGGGAGGCGGGGCCGGCGCGGAGGGGGCGGGGGTTGGGCGTGGCGTGGCGGGGTCATGGCGTGGCGGCGTTACCGGCCGGAGCCGCGGGTGGGGGCTCGGTGCGGGTCTATCCGGTCCCGCCCGGTTCCCGGGAGCCGCCGGGCTGCGTGTGCTGCTCCAGCTTGGTCCTCTCTCGGGCCCGGAGGAGCCTGCCGCCCGCTGCCGCGGGATCCCTGCCCGTCGCTTGCCTTTCGCCCCGCTGCCGCTGGCCTGCGCGGCGTTTCCCCCACGGCCGAATTCACAACCCACAGTTCGGTCGGGGCGCAGCAGGGTGCCACCCGGGCAGGGCATCTTCCTGCCGTGGGCTGTGCCAGCTGGTGCGAGATGTGTTTGGCTGCTGAGGTGGATCTGACTGGGACCCCAGGGTTGTTGGTGCTGGGACCTTTGTACCTGGGAAAGTCTCACATCTTGCACCCACACTTGCAAATGCATCAAAAAGCTCTCGGGGTTACTTCAGCACAGCAGGTAGGTAGGTGGATCCTGCCCCAACCCAGCCATGATGCCTGATGCAGGTTCAGGGCCCCTGGCTCTCAAGTCCAGCTCCCCATCAGAGACACGGCATCAGCATCAAAATGACTAGACAGAAAAACCCAGAGACGAAGGCTGGGCCACTGGTGAGGTGTCAGAAGGCACACAGCAAGTCAGCCTCCTCTGCAGCCCATGCTGGAGTCACACCTGCTGAGAGCAAGTGGGGTGCAGTGTTGTACATTCCTGCCTGTTATATGTGGTTAAAAGATAATTTGCAGAATGTTAAGAATTTAGCATTGGAATTTCCTGCTTTGCTTAGAGAGATCAATGGGTTGTTCTACCAGGGTTGGGGGTCCCTGCACAAGATGTTTGTCCTGTAAAACAGCTTGTGCTAATGAAATTTGTAAGGTAACTGCTCTGATGAATTACCTGGAGCAAGGAGAAGAAAGAAGAAGATAAGATTGCAGAAGGAGCCAGGAGGCATGCTAAAGACGTTGAAACTGGCAACTGTGTGGATAAAAGGGGGTTTGAAACTTGAACAATTTGGTGAGCCTGGACAGAGCTGCGACTCCTCGGCCACCCCAGCGCTGCATTTGCTCTCTTACCTTAATAAAGATTCATTAATCCATATTTGGATGTGATTGGCCTTAATCTACCTATAACACTGCCCACAAGCCCCCAGTATATTTGGTCCACTCCTGCTGCTGGACAGCATGGCACTAACTCTGTCCCAGCCATTGGCCTGGCTCCGTGGCATCCTGCCGACAGTCTGAGCCCAGCTGGGCAGGAGACGAGAAGGCAGCCGGACAGACAGACAGCTGCTCATACACAGCCTGCGTGTGACCAGAGTCAGGGGAGCTGGACCCCATCCAGATGTGATGATCACATCACGAAGATTCCCTGGTAGTTGTCAAAGCCTCTGTTTCACACTATGTTTCCTATTTTATGTGACTCATTTGGGCAGAGGCTTAGGGTTTCAGAAACTTCACATTGTTCCCATTTACACAAAATCTCTTCCTGCCGTGGTTGCGTTCCCTGCCTGCCTGATGTGTGAATGAATGTGGGTCCTTCCACACACATGGTGCCTGCATAACCTTTGACTCTTACTCATCAGAAAAGGCTCTGTCAGATCCAACTTATAAATCCAGCCCTGCCTTTTCCTGCAGAACCGTATGGCCCTTGCTGCCTCTCCTTGAGAGAACCCCAGCACAAAGCTGTGGGATCTTGTAACTGTGGGATCTCAGCTCTCCTAGAAACACCACAGCAAATCATGCTGCTGCTGGTGAATGTGATCCCACCCTCCAAATCTAGCCTTCCACCAGAACAGGTTTGTCCTGCTGCACAGAGTCGCCTGGGCTGATTCTACAACCCATCGCACAGTGTGGGTAGAAATTTTCTTCTGTAAAGCAGTAAAAACAATGACAAGTTGGATCAGATATACTGGGCAGGACAACCCAAGAGAGCAGGGAGATACACTTGGGCCAAAGGAAACACAAGCATGCAGGTGGAACAGGAAATTCAACATTAAAATTGCTCCAGCACCCTGAAAGCAGACAGACAGCAAACTCTGCTCCATCAGGGTAAGATATTCTACCAGGAAAGAGAGAGAGACCTTATTTTTAGGGCCCTGCTTCGGGCCTCAATATATAAGTATCCACCAATATGTTCCCCAAAGAAATGTGGGTTTATAGTCATTCATTGAATAAAGTGAAAGTCTGGGTAGTTTATGACCGTGGCATGACTGTTACATTCTGCCCTTAGCTGCTCCTGTGATAGCTGGCTTCAGCAGCAGCAGCAGAGTGGAATTCATAATAGAACAGGGCAATTGCTAGACAGATTCTAATCGAAGGCCTTGCAGCATCTATCACACTCAGCCTCAGATAGTTCCCTGTATTTAAGCTCATAGTGCTGAGACCCCATCAGCTGGAGGGATGGGAGGGTGAGGCTGGACACAAGCAACTGCCATTTCCTACCAACACAAATTCTTGCTCTGCAGACCCAGGCATGTTGCAGAGTCAGCAGACAAAACCACCATTCCCCTGGACAGCTTATTTTAGCTTCCTACCCACTGCCCTTCTCCCAGCCCTTGTGGCAGCCTGAGAGCCTCCTGGCAGCCACCAGACTTCCTGCTCACCAGCCCTCCAAAGGAAAAAACAGTCTGGAGGAAAGAAAACTAACTTTGTGGAAATCGCCGGGCCCTCTCCAAAGCAAATAGAGCATGTCCTCAAGAGGCCCCGTAAGCAGCAAGATGGAAAACATGATGGCATTTCAGAGCTGGGAAGATCAAACAAGATAGCCCTCTCCTAAGGGAAAATCTGCTGTGTCTCCCCAACCACACTCCCCTCACTGTTTGTAGTCTCTGCCCAGGGGGTTTATTGGGGACAGCTGCATTTCTGGGATGACGCTTTTGTACCCCACTGGAAATGATTCCCTGCACCTCCTCAGCTTTGGGGCTGAAAGAAGGGGTTAACACCAATTGCACTTAATGAATTGGACAGTGATGGGGAGCACCAGAACTTGGCATATGGACTGTTGCTTGCACAGCTTCCAGTCTGGTTTTAACCAAGCCCCAATCAACCATTCCTGGGTATGGTCTGATAACCTGTGCTTGCCAGGAACTAGCCCACTTTGAGTGCGGCACTCTTTTGGACAGCAGTACAATATGTAGAGGTGGGCTGTGCCATGCTGGCTGGTCCATGTGCCAAGCAGCAGCATGCACACACTGAGCCCACAGACATGCAGCTGGTTCCCCACCAGACCTTGCTCTCCTTCAGGAGAACACAGCAGCAGAGGCTCACGGCATTGGTTTTGAACGTGGTCATCAGGAGACAACCTCATGCCTGCAGTCACTGGGTGTCCTCTGCTGAGTCAAAATTCACACGTGAACACCTACATGCTGCTGAAATCAGCATGGGGCTTAACCTGCTGCCACAGGTACCTGGCATCATCAGGTCGGTGTCATGTAGGAAGGTGCTCCAGTGTCCACCACCAGCACCCTGTCTCCCCAGTGCTCTGCTGGGATTTGGTGCAGCTGCTATGACCTTTCCTGACAGTGGTGGCAACACTGGTTGGGGGGGACACACTGGCCTTCTCCATGCCCTCCCCAGAGAGGGGCAGTGGTACACTGGTTGCCACCACACCAGAGCCATGTCACCACTGATGCCTGCAGGCCAGCAGTGAGGGAGGGTTGGACCAGGTTTGAATGGCAGCTGGTGCTTCCCAGTAGCTTGGAGAAAGCAGAACTGAATAACTATGCTGTTCATATTAAAAAAAAAAAAAAAAAAAAAAAAAAAAGTTGGCTCTGTCAGTCAGAAGAGTCTGGGCTGGCCCCAAGATAAACTATTCAGTGGGAGAAAAAAAAAGAAATCAAAACACCAAAAAGCCTTTTCAAAATTTCTCTAACCTCATTCACCTGACAATGCAGAGGATGAAGACATTGGCCTGTCTCATGGCAGCCTCTTGAGGGCACTTTTGTATGGAAAACGTAGTAAGACCAGAGCTGCACTGGGCAGTTATGTCCCAACTCCCTGTTGCCAGAGCAGGAAGTTCCAAATGGAGTAGTATTTCAGCTGAATCATCAGGCACAGTCAATGCCAGGAATTGTTTCTGCTCTCTGGATTGCTTTACTGGTGGGATCCGGGAGACCAGCCAGAGCAGGTTCTTGATAGAGGAAAGCTCACTGAAGGCCTCCAGAGGCTTCTGTGATTTACCTGGCAGCCTGGGTCTGACAGGGCTGAGAAACTCCATGGAGAAGAGGAGTGTCAAGAATGGGATAAGAAGCCAGGAGTAGGACCAAGCTGCTGAAGACACCTTGGGATGGAGTCCAGCCTGGACAGGGAAGCTGATGGCAAGAGGAGCACAGCAAGGGCCACATGGATGGGAGGGCTTGAGAGTCAAGCATCTTCCACCATCTCTCTCTGAAGCCAACTCAGAGCAAAAGGAAATCACCCTGGCATGTGACAAAGGGAGAAAAATGTCCCTGGCACAGGGAGGTGTCTGTAACACAAGGAGATGTCCATGGCACAGACAGACTCACAACCTGAGCACCTGGACAGTGGCAAATCACCCTTTCTGGCTGTCTCCCTGATGCTCCTTCTCTCAGCGTCATGAGCATCAAACCAGGACGGGGGCTCTGGAGGTGCCAGCATGTGGCTGCCCAGGGCCCCTTGAGCAAGTCGTGGCACCTCTGCCATGGGAATCTTGACACCAGGGCTTTGCAGTCTGCTTTGTTGAAATGGAGGGATTTTGCAGAGGGCGGCACCATTCACTGTTGGATCTAACAGCCACAGCAAATTTTGGTACAAAGTAGAGAAACCCTTTCTCTGAACAACGCCAGTTCATACTAAATTTATAAGAGATATGATCTAAATCCTGGTTCTCTCAGATTTGTCAACACTGACACATTTTTTTTCCTCCTTTCCTCCTTCTCCACATCCATGGTTCCTTTGGGCCCCTACCCCAGCTCCTGCTGGCTGGTGGCTGCTGGTGCTGCACCAGCTGCAGCACTGCGATGCTCAGACTCTATTCCTGCTGTAAGCACTCGCTTCCTCCGTGGCGCCAGGCAAGTCAGGCACACAGGATGCAAAAGAGCTGTGCATCAGCCTCCTGTGAGGATGCTGCCGACATGAGAACCTGGGCACTTGCTGGCTGTGTTTGCAGAGCTAGCAGTGAGAACGAACACCACCACGTTCAGGGTTTTTTTTTCCTTTCTGTTCACTAATCACGTTTGCTCTGGAGTCTTTAGGGATGTTAGGTCTTCAGGTATCTCTGCTTAAAAAGAGAGTCGCTTTCCTTTCTGCAAGGCTACAGTCTCTTTGAGGTGCAAAACCCCAACTACCCGAAGCTATTTGTCACCACCGGCAGCAGAAGCACCCGTTGCACTCGGGCGCAGGCGGCGGTGCCCTGAATTCTGCCCGTAACTTAAGGAAGTTTGCAGCTGCGGGAGCAGCGGGTGCAGGTCCGCGCTGCGAGAAATGGGGGTTTGTGCCTGGTGGAGGGGGCAGCGGCCAGCGCGGCTCTTCCCGGGAGGGGGAGACCGAGCGGGGTGGGCAGGAGAGGTGATCAGGAGGGTTGGCAGCGGGGGTGGCAGCGGGGGGGGCAGCGGGGGTGGCAGCGGGGGTGGCAGCGGGGGGGGCAGCGGGGGGGGCAGCGGGGGTGGCAGCGGGGGTGGCAGCGGGGTGGGCAGCGGGGGTGGGCAGCGGGGGGGGCAGCGGGGGTGGCAGCGGGGGGGGCAGCGGGGGTGGCAGCGGGGGGGGGCAGCGGGGGGGGCAGGCGACACCCCGGGGCCCTGGCCCGAGCCCACCCGCCGGCCGGGAGAGGGGCGGGCTCCGCGGGCAACTCAAACCACCGTCCACGCCCTCAGCCAATGGCCGGCGCCACCTCCCGCCGCCAACCAATGAGAGCGCGGGACCTCCCGCCACCAGCCAATAGGAGCGCGGGGGCGGCAGCGGCGAGTAACGCTCGGCGGCGGCGGCGGCGATGGCCCTGGAGCGCGGCGGCCGGTCCGTTCCCGCTGGTACCGAAGGTCTTCCCCGGGTGTTCCTGCAGAGCCTGCGGACTCTCTTTGATATCCTGGATGACCGGCGGCGGGGTTACGTGCACCTGCGGGAGATTGAGTCGCGCTGGCGCGGAGCGGAAGCCCGGGAGCTGCCCCCCGGAGTGATGGAGGGGTTGCGGCGGGCAGCACCGGCCAGCGGGTACCTCACCTTCGAGCGGTTCGTCCTGGGGCTGCGGGCTGCCCTGACCGGTGCTGACCCCCCGGCAGAAAGTGGCGGCGGGCGGCGGAGCGTGGAGAAGCCGCCGAGCCCGCGGTGCGCCGAGGAGCGGCGCCGGAAGAGCAGCGGGCAGCGGGAACCGGGGCAGAGCCAGCCCCGCGGCCGCGGTGAGCCGGGGGGCCGGGCTGGGAGCGCCGGGCTCGCAGCGCGCCCGGCTTGGTGCCGGAGACTCGAGGTAGGCAGGGCGGGTCTGTCCCTGCGGCTTGCTCCGGCCCTCGGGCAGCGGAGACCCGTTCCCTCCTCCGGGCTTAAAGCAGCAGCGAGCTCTTCCCGCAGGCCTGGTGTAAAACACTGCGAAAGTTACTGGTTCTGATTTCGGCTTCGGTGGGCTTTGGGCCAGGCTGGGGGGGTCAACGGGAACGGCAAGCACGCCACCCCACCGTCCACCTCGGGTTTATGCTTCCTTTCACATCTCTCCCCGCGTGAGTGCTTGTCTGTTTATAGCGGGGACAAGAAGAATTAAGGGCTTTGCCATAGCGTGTCCGTGGTTGTCCCCTGGCACAAAGCCTGTAGGTGACCTTCCTCGGGGTGTGGGTGATGCGGCTGGTCATCTCGGAGAGCTGCTGGGCCCTGGGGTCTCCAAGAGCCGAGCAGCTTCCCCCGAGTGAGAGCTGTGGGCGTGGAGCAGCCATGTGCTCGGGTGGGCTCAGTGCTGTGGGTGCATCCTCTCAGAAGGGCTTGGCTCACGATTTCATCCGTATTTTGGACAAAAAAATTAGAAAAACCTGATCCACCTTTGTTTGGATAATTCTGCAGCACTGTTTACACTAATAAATAATTAAGCAATAATTAAATGGGAAAGCGGCACTGGGGAGATGTGCTTTGCTGCCCCCAGGTGCTGCCCAGGTGGCCAGGGTCTGTCTGCAGAGCTCACCAGCAGGTCCCTCTGGACTCTGCCCCTCCCTTGGGAGCCAGGGCCCCCACCCCCAGGTAGCATGCTGACCTTGGCAAGGGGGAGACTATTTCACTGGCATCTTGATTCTTTGCTAGTCAGAGGGAGATGTCATAAGGAAACCAGGCTTCTGGGCTTATCTGGTGAAGGTAATAATTCTTTATCTAGATTTGTGATCTATAGACACAAAAGTCTGTGTGAGGAGCTGGTGTTTGTTATTGCAACACTTGAACACAATGACTTCCTCTACCTTGGGAAAGTTGGGCTGGTTTGACTTTCCTTCCCACTCAGTCCCTCCCAGTCCCTTCTTCTGCTGGGTGGAGAAGAAACCTTAACCGTGGCTGAGGTTCTCTGCTTTCCATTTCGCCTCCAGACTAATTACTGGAGCTTCATATGGGGAATATTATTAAGCAGTCTAGTTCTTCTATTGTCAAGAGTGTAAATCTGGAAAAACCTGAAAAAAAAATCCTGCTTGGAAAACAAACAGCAAATTAAAAGCTATGCTCTGGAAAGGAGCAAGTAGATGACTACAGCAACTTTCTGGTTGCTGAGGATCTTTCCATTACAGGCTGCTGTTCTACTGCTGTCTGGAGCCTGGAGGCAGCATTAGTGTCTCAGCCCTTGCTGCCAGCTTCCTGCAGTGCAGGGCTGTATTCTGGCAACAGGCTTGAATTTCAGGTTGATTCAACAGCTTAGTGAATGTTATAACTCTGAGTTATTCTCTCTCTTTTAGCTCTAGATCCTGCAGAGCTGCCCAGTGCTCCCTTCCACCACGGAGGGTTTCCCAGGGTGTGGTTGAACGGGTAGATGTTCTCTTCGACTGGCTGTGAGGGATTTGGGCAGTGCTGTGGCAGGATGCAGATCTTTCCTGCTGTGGAGAAAGGTACTGGATGCTGAGAGTTGCCCATAGGTCCAGGAAGCCCTGTCTCCATTAATATTATATTGTTTGGGCTCAAGGCTGCTCTGAGCCTCCAGCTGCGTGAGGTAGCTTCTGTAAGAACACAACCAAGTGCAGCGAGATGGTGCATCAGTGCTCATCAAATACAAAGAGTCTGAGGAAACTCTCCTTGTCTGTGTTCTGGGGGAAGGAGGTGCTCACAGGATGCCACCCTAGCTCTGCTTTCTGGTCCACAGGGCGCCTGCATGCATCAGAGGTGATTTGGATGCAAATCATGGCAAGATGGCAGAGGTTAGGGCCAGGTGATCCTCCTGGCCTGTCCAGGGGGGCAGTGTGCCAGCGGGATGGCGCTTCTATCCCTTCTTCCTTGCTAACCTCCATCAGTGTATGGGCAGAAGTTCTTCTGAAGAAGTTCCTGCTCATTAGCTTCCAGCTTCTCAGAAGCTTGCACCAGCCTAGCAGTGCTGGGACAGCCTGTGAGCCGCTGCTGGGTACCAGCCATAGTCTCTGGGGAGCCAACAGCATCTACTAGATGCAAGGATGATGAGACTGATATTGGAGAAGTCACTGGGCATGGAAGTCACTGTGATGGGCTTCCCTACTGTTGGTGCCTAGGTGGCCTGTCACAGCAGCACCTGAGCATCTCGGTGTTGGGGATCTTTACCCTTCTGGTTCCCCCGAGAGCTGAGACCTGGGGAAGTTAAGACAGAGCAGAAAATGCCTTGAGTACGTGGTCTGTGGTGGCCCTGGGCACTGCCTCCTCCCCAGCACAGCGTTTGCCTTTGCTGCTGGGGTCACCTGGCTCTAGCTGCTGCCTGGAAGGCTGGTGGCCCCAGCAGGAAGGAGGGGATGGTTTGTAGGTAGCTGTTACTGTCTGGGCCATTGCCAAGGACAGGTATGTGAATGTGTAAAACGACCCTGAGGTGTCTGCTCTGTCCTGGGCACTTGCTCTGGCTGACTGGGCTCATGCCCTGCAGGCTCTGGGAGGGAGGAGGCCAGCCCCTATCTCATGGCAGGATCTCTTCCACCTCTAATAATCTGGTCCTGCTCTTTGCCTAAGAACTACTGATCCCAGCTCATTAGCAGGAATCCTGTTTTAGTCAACTCAGGTGCACGCAGCTCTGTTTTTTGACCAGGGAGTGCTTTCTTACCACAGGTTCAGCTATGCTAAGCCTGGCAGTTCTAAGTAACAGCAGTGAAAACCTTTTTAACATGTTTATACCCTACAGCTCTTCCCGAAGGTGCTCTTGGCTCTGCTTTGGGATCCTGCCTATTGAAGCTACCCTTGTTTTTGGAGCTGTTCCTCAGCTTCCCAAGCAGGATGTGCTACAGGTCTGCTAGGAGAACATGTGTGTGGTTGCACTGGTCTTTCTGGGTTCCTCCCAGGTAGATATGGGTGAATAAAACCAAAGGCAGTTGGCAAAAGAGATGAATGGGTGATATCAAAGACTTTGTGTTTATTGACATGCCGGAGACCTGTCTGTGCCAGAGCACTTGCTGGCAGGAGAAGAGGGATGTTGTGATGGACCGGAAGGAAGATTTTTGCTGTGCCACAGTACTTCTTTTGGCACAAAGTGACAGGCTTGAGGGAGGTGCTTGTGTAGCATTGCCTGTTGCCCCCTGAGCCAGAATCCAGCTCCTGTTGCTGAACCGGTGCAAACATGACATCACGGGCAGCCCCAGTATGGTGCAACTTTCCCAGACTATGTTGTCTTCAAGGTGAAGGGTGGCTCCTGTGGCCACGGCTGCCCTGTCTTGCCCCATATCCCCCTTCCATCGTGTCCACGTGCTCAACCGAGGGGACTTGTGAAGCAGCAGGCAGTGATGTGCCAGCCCAGGCGATGCTACGCGCCCTGTCCCAATGCTCGCAGCCCTCCGTGCCTGCGTGGCAGGGAATGTGCTAGAGCTGTGCCAGGCAGCTCCAGTGCCTGGGAGCAGGAGCATGCCCACCCCACGGGGAAAGGATGTCGTGATGGGTGGGGATGATGCATGGGGAGCGGTCCTGAGGAGGTGTTTTCCCCAGCTGCCTCACTGCCTGTCTTCGCTTGCCTACCTCCCTGCTGCTCTTGTTTGAAAGCCAGGTTGGGAAAGAAGCTATTGAGGAAAGCTGTGTGTGGAGAGCAGGGTGAGCTACAAGAGCGAGGGAGTGAGCACAAGGCAGAGTCTGCTGGGGACTCGGCAGGGGACCAGGGCTAGAAGGGAGGTGCAGCAGAGCAGGCTTGCTGCCCAGATACGTCTGGGGAGGGTGCTGGCTGCACCCTTGGTTGCCCTGGCGCCATGGTTTGGGGTGGCTGGGCGGTGTTCTGCCAGCTCAGCCAGAAGCGGGGATCTGAGCTGGCTTGGCCGTGGCCGCAGGGCTGTGTTTCTGGTGAGTTCGCCAGGGTGAGCAGTGCAGGGCTTGTACTGACTTTACTGCCGGTGCCCAGCCAATACCTGCTTCAGCGTACAGGCAGCACAGGCAGGAGATGTCTGATCCAGCCTGAAACCTGCCAGTATGAACTCAATCTGCAAAAATAGGTTATACGTGTATTTGGACCAGTGTCATATGTTTGCAGTAGATCAGTCTTTTCAAGATAGGATGTTGAGATTTAAATAAAATTTTGGAAAACCTGCAGCCTGATTTACTCTATGGTTAGACCACAGGCACAGGGTCTTGGGGGGAGAACATCTGCACGGCCAAGCCCACTACCAAGCAGGAGCTGCCTTCAGGAAGAGTTGGGTTCCTGGCAGGGCCTGTGCCACTTGAGCGGGAGCCAGAGGTCCCATGAGGACAGGACAAGGCTAGGCAGTATCACTAATTCAGGCACAGCCTGTGCCGTGACTGAAACCGCATTGCTGGGGAACTGCCTGCTTTTTGCAGGTGACCACCAAGGTTGGTTGCCAGGCTGATGCAGCCAAGGAGGTTGTTGGTGAAGCCTGCCCTACACATACAAAGATGTGAGCAGGTGCTTGGGCTGGTGCTTTGCTCAGCTGCTCCCTGCCACGTCTGTTTGCAAGATCACCCTGCAGATAGTCCCACAGAAGTGGCTGTGGTGGGGAGGTTTTTGTTACAAGCAACTGGTAGCCTCATGCTTTCCTCTCTTACAGGTGACGATGCTAAGGCTGCCGGGCAGTCCCAGGGAGATGGCAGCCGTTCAGGGGCTGGGGACGCTCAGAGGCATCACAGGGGACGTGCAGGACACCGGAGACACACCATCGCCAATGGTGTGGACTTCAGCATGGTAAGGGGACAGCCCTGCCATGGGCTCCGGCGAAGGGGCCTGTGGTACCTGGGCGAAGGTGGATTGTAGGGGTCCCTTCACTGCTGACACCAGCTCTGTTTGGGCTGTGGCTCCCCCCTGCCCACCCGGCACATGAGCTGGGGGGCGTTGGGCAGATCCTCGTATTTTGGATACAAAGCTCTGTTAATGTACTTGGAGGTCCTGCATTACTTCAGAGGTGCTTTATGTCCTGAATCGTGCCAGAGGGGGAGGAGGTGCATGTTCCCCTGCCTTCCCCTGGAGCAGGGGCAGCCCATGGAGCCAGTGTTTGACTGCATGGGTGCTTTCCCCGTGGGCAAAAAACTTGGGAAAGGCAGACGTGTGGGTGTAGGAGCAGGCAGGTCTCTGGGCCTTTCAAACACTCCAGCAAACATCAGATACACTCTATGCTGGCAAGCAGAGGTGCTGGGCCTGCGAGATGGTCTCTGTAGATCAGGGCTCAAGCATGCTGATTCTCCTGGCTCCTGAGGGACTTTTTATGAGTAATTCAGAGAAATCAGCACTGAATTTAGGTGGGCAGCCCAGGATAGAGGGATCTGTTTCCCTCTCCATCCCTGAATGGAGAGGCTTGGATCAGATTGCCTGGCTGAAGGGATCTGCACTACTCCCAAGTGAGGTGGAGGAGCTGTTTGGGCGTGCTGCCCACAAGCTCAAGCTAAATTTTCCTGGGAAGAGAGCCAGGACCCAGCCTGCAGGATGAGTGGTGGGCTGGAGCTTGTCTTGCCAGTGTCAGAGCTGCTGCTGAGGCTGTGACTGTCACCTCTGCACTTCCACTCCTTGCACCCTGGTGTCACTTTGCTCCTCGAGCCCAATAGGGTTGACTGGTGGCATGGGCAGCATCAACTGCAGCCTGGTGCTGGCCTTGGGGGACATAACATGCTCCTACGCCTGGCCTGGGTGGGGTGTGGTTTTTGCACACATGGTTTGCTGGGCTTGCAACCATGCCAGGGGTTGGGATGCTCTTGGGCCGAGGGGGCCTCTGCTGAGAGGTGCTGGCAAGGAATAATAAATATAGATGTGTGTGACTGGAGTTGGACGTCTCTGGTCCTCAGGGTTTTGGTGTCTGGGAGATGCTGCTTTGGGGAGGGGAAGATCTCGCCTTCCCTGGCAAGGCTCTTGCTGTGCATGCAGCTGCAGGCTGGAGGCCATCCCTGCCATGAGCTAAGGTCCTGCCTGGTACTGGCGTGGATGGGGCTGGTGGGTTTGTTCCCAGTTCTGCCACAAGCACTCTTGTCGTGGGCTTGTGTTGCGCTTGCCTCTGTTTCTCCACGTTGTTGCAGGGCTGGTGGGAGGGAGGTTGTCTGCCTTTCTTTTCCCCTCCCTATGTACCTAAGTGTTGCACTGCCTTTTGCTTGCTCCTCCCACCAGACAAGGGGTGTCAGTCCGTGTCCCACAAGTGAGAAGCCTTCCCTGGCACCCCAGCAGGAGCCTTTAGATACTAATCCCACTTCTGAGCATACAGAGGCAGTTGGAGCAGGTTTGAATCCAGCAAGGATGGAATCCCTGTGCAGGGCAGTGCTGTCACCTCCTCCACTGATGCTGGGAAGCTGTTGAACCCACAGAGACAAGGCACTCAGCTGTGATTAGGCTAATTTGCCTAAAGCCCAAGGCAGCATGGGAGCTCTGATATCCATCCTGCATCCTGGGGTGCACTAAGACTGGTTCATCCTGAGCAGCAAAGTGGAGATGTGGGGGCTGTGCTGCAGCCCCAGGACCCTTTGCACCACCACAGCTGGTGTCTGCTCAGCTGTTTTGTTTGGTTTTTTTCAGCCAGTCCATCATCGATCGGCCTGATTTTTCCCATGGCCACAGAGGGTAGCTGGGATGAGATCTTCTGTGAGAGGCTGAGGAAGACAGCACTGGACTTGGCTGATGCTACCCAGGGTAGAAACACTTTCATTTGTAGGCGACCTGGGGTACAGCACTATCTTCCTCCTGTCCCAGAAGCTACCTCTGCCTTCAGAGCATCCTTAGCAAGATGCTGTCTGTCCCTGCACCTGACAAAGCTGGTGATGTCCCACTGCTCTGTGGAATGCTGCCTCTTCCTCTGGTCACCATGGTGGCCAGCAAGCCTGGTGGGACCAGGGTAGGCCAGGTGGTCACAGGCTGCAGCTTGAGCTGGGTTGGGGGTCTTTGCCACATACAGCACCTTCTTCGTACCCCTCAGTAACAGCCTGTGTAGCACTAAGGCTCTGTGCTTCTTCCCGTGGGTACATCCAAGCATGTCAGGGGAGGGGGCTGTTGTGTTGCAAACAGCATTTCCAGGAGCAGCAAGAGCAACAGCAGCCCTGGTGTAGGGCTGTCAGGGAGGATGGAGAAGCACTGCTGGCCTGAAGAAGGTCTTGGTATAGTCTCAATTGTCCGTGGTGATGGGATATTTTAAGGGTCATTTCTGAGCTGAATCACTTCCCTCCAGATGCTCTCCAAAGCAGCAGGAGAGGTTCCTGAGCATTCAGCAGCTTCTGGGTGATCAAAGTCCCACTGGTGCATGGAGAAGACTTTCCTGGAGCCCAGTCTGTGCTGTGGGCAGTGGAGGCCTGGCTGCCTTGGGGCAGAGAAGGCAGAGACAGGAACACAGGCAGCTCTTTGTGCTCTTGGCAGCAGGGCAGGAGCTGGGGGAGCAGATTGGCATGGCTCAGGAGAAAGGGAGCAGGAACCCTGGGCTCACTGAGTAAGGGCTGATGAAAAGGTCACTGCACCAGTTGCTCTGTTCCCCAGGGATGTTCTCTCACCACCTCTGTGATTGCCAGTGGCAGCGCAGTGCCAAGGAGCAGCAGGAGAAGAAGGTGGCAGTGGAGCAGGGCAGTCCATGTCCCCTGGCGCACAGACTTCTGCTACAGCCCGGCTGTCAACGGAGGGGCCGAGCCACCTGCACTGCAGCAGCCTTGGCTGTGCCACAACCTGGCGCAGAGTCCTGCCCTGCTTGTTCCAGGGGGACAAGATCCGGGGGCAGGAGCCCTGGGCACCCTCGTAGCAGCTCACCGTGCCCATAAGGGTCCCTGCACCCCTCTCCAGGTGATGGTGGTACTTGAACTGAAAGACTGGCAGAGACGCTCAGTGGAAAGGCATGCTATGCTCTGCTTAGCTGGGAGGTACCTCAGGGCAGGAGGCAAAGCAGAGTGGGGAGCAGAGTGCTGGGGAAACAGGGCTGCAGGTTTTCCCCTGGCTTCCAGTCTGCACTTTAGCTTGGCTCCCTGCTGCTTGCCAAAAGCTGTGTGTGTTTGTGCTACTGGATGAGCCTTACAGCCTTGAGGGGGCATTTTGGGAGCAGCTGCAGGCCCTGCTCTTGCTGCATCCCTGGATAAATATGAGGCAGAGAAACCTGCTTTTGCTGTGGGGAGCCGGAGAGTGGAGGTAGCCTGTCTTTTGCCTGCTTCAGTTGTTCTCCCAAACTGGAGAACTCTTCCTCAAAAGCAGCATTGGGCAGCAGCCATCATCCCACTCCTCTGTGGCTTTTCATCAGGAGAGGATCTGAGGCCCCTCCATGCCTTGTAAAGAAACCAGCTTCTGAGTCTTGACGAGACATTGGTGGTCAGGGGGTGACATCTCTGCATGCTCTGTCCTGCAGCCGAAGCACATGAAGGAGCTGGAACAGGAGAAGGATTTCCTATTGCAGGGTCTGGAGCTGGTAGAGCGCACCCGGGACTGGTACCACCAGCACATCCAGTTCATGCAGGAACGCCAGAGGCTCCTGGGGAAGAACAAAACCAGTGCTGTGAGTCTGGGGCTTGTTCTTAGGGTGCCCATCTGCTTGGGAGGGTCTGGGGCTGCTCTGTGGGTTTGGAGAACCGGGCTGGGACTTGACCTGGAGCTGGCCCCATGGTAACCCCCAGCCTCTTCTTCCTCCCGGTCCCCCAGGAATTCCTCCCGGACGGCAGCCAGAGCCACCTGGGGTGCCTGGTCCCCAAGCTGCAGGAGGTGAACCGCTGCCTGGGTGACCTCCTTTCCACTGCCAGCAAGGTGAGAGCAGCACATTAGCCGCTTGTGATCCATCCTGCTCCTTACCTCATGCTGGTGTCATCAGAGCTGCCAGTTTCCCTGGGCTCTGGGGAGGTGACTTGGCTCTGTGGGCAAGGCAGGGGATGGGGGACAGCCAAGAGGCCAAGACAATGCAGCTGGTCTCAAGCTGGGCTGGAGGATGCTCAAGGCATTTGGGGGACTAAAGAAGATCCCAAAAAGGTTTAGCCATTGCGAAGTGAATAAGGAAACCATCTTGCTGAGGTCCTGAGCCAGGCCTCTCAGAGCTGGCTGTCCTGCCAGGCTCCTGGCAGGAGCTGGGCACACTGGCAAGAATGCTTCCCACCTCTGCCTGCCTTGCTGGAGACCCTGTGATGGCCTGTGCTGGGATCTTAATCTTGTGCTGGCATTCTCTCAGTTCCCCGTGTGCCATAGAAACAGCTCTGGCCTTGGAAAAAGGCTGGGGAGGGCCACTGGGAAGGAGGCTCAATGTCTTGTTCTTTCCCTTCATCTTCTCTGCAGCAAGCAAAGCCCTCCTCAGTTCTGAGCAGGCTGGTCCCTGTGGCATCCCCAACTCCATCAGGTTCCCAGCAAGCCATCAACATGCTGAAGGAACAAAACCGCCTTCTCACCAAGGTGAGTGGGGATAGAGGGGGAGGAAATCCTCTTGGAGGGGGCTGGGAGAGGATGGGGTGTGGAATGGGGCCAGGGAAGGAATACGAGGCAATGGAAAATGTTCCTTCAGCTTGGCCAACCTTGGTCATCACAGAGAAGGGTGTGTGGGCTGCACCTGGAGACCTTTTATCATGCAGCTGTGTCCAGCTGTTTGCTGGGTGAGGGTCCACGGACAGGGATGGGGCATCCCTGCCAGAGGGAAAAGACTGACAAATGCAGGTCATGAGAGGGCACAGATGCTGCGGCGGGGGTCTGCAAGTAGGGCTGCTGGGGAAGGGGCACCCATGATGCCCCTGCCAGGGCCAGGCTTACTGCTGAGGTTCACATCCCAGCACCCACAGCCCAGAAAATGTCAGCATTTTCCTCCTCTGTCCCATGCAGGAGGTGACCGACAAGAGCGAGCGCATCACCCAGTTGGAGCAGGAGAAGTCTGCCCTGATCAAACAGCTCTTTGAGGCTCGTGCCCGCAATAACCATGAAACAAGCCAGCTGGACTCTACCTTCATCTAGTGCCAGTCTTCCTGCTCCCTGTCCTCAAGCTTCCCTGCGGTTTTCATGGGACTCTTGGCCAAAACCCAGTGCACCCATCGCTTCAGGTGTCATATCTCAAGGTCTGGAGCCACCCGTGGCATCTCTGCAGGCAGAAGCCAGGAAGGCATTTCCCTGATCCCCCCTGGGGAGCATCCCTGCACTGCTCTGCTGCCGGGCTTTCCAGCTGTGCTGCTCTCAAGCTGCTCCTTTTCTGTCTCTAAACAGACTGCAGAGACTGTACCCCCAGCTCCATGATCCCCAGCGTGCTGGGGGAAACAGCTGCTGCCCATGCTGCCTGCACAAAGGCAACTGGGCAACTGTTGTGCCTTTGGCCTGACTTAGTCCGAATTTTGGCTGCTCTCAGAAAAAGATGATGATTCTTCAGCACTCCAAATGGCATCTCCAGGCAAGCCTGGCTGTTGAAGAGTGGCCTCTCCTCTGCCTTTCTTGCTGTTGGAGGACAAGATTGAAATTCCAGTGGGATGTGCCTGGCCCCTCTGCTGCTGGAGTTCTGCCTGCCAGTGACACTGTACTGGGCCAGGGCAGTGCCTGAGCTGGTGCTCCCCCTGGGGTAATCCCTCTTTCCAGTTTGCAGTAGTGATGCCATAGTCGCTGTTTACATGTCTGCAGGCTCCTGTAGTTAATGAGCCATAGACCCAAACAAGGTAGCCTGTAGCCCTGAGCTGCTGTTTCAGGCTCTTTCCAGATCGAGGCAGACACCTCTACATCCCTTTATTTGGCTTCACCTGGCAAATGTTTTCTTATGACTGCCAGGCTTATATTTTTTTCATGATTTTAAAAGGCAAAATGATGTCCTACAGCATGAGGATGCTAACAAAAGCCTGATTTCACAGAGGGGCTTTAGGACAAGGTTTTGTATTTAGCTGAATGGGGGTGACAGAGTAGAGACTGATGGGCTCTTTCATTTGCACATCTCCAAATGGAGAAATGGCAGCTTTGCCTGTCCTGGTGGTGGATGCTGGCTCCCTGGCGTGACATCCTGCATGAGAACACCCTTCTCCAAGCTTCTAGGGGTGGTGGTGGTCTAGGTGTGGGTCCTGCTAGACTGGTACATCTCAGAATACCTCCTCCTTCCCACCCAGCTCAGTGATGATGTTTGAGCTGGACAGTGTCTTCCACTGTGACTTGGTACTTGGTATTAATGGTACTTTCATAGGAGATCCTTGTGAATCCCCATGTAGCACAGTCCTGGCTCTCCATAGCTCCAAGACCAGGACTTTTCTCTCCAGAGTTGTTTCATGCTCTGATTTTCCTGGCATGATGCCATGGCACAATGCACTGAGATGAGCAGAAGGTGCTAGACGTGCTCTGTCCTTGGCTGGGTACCAGTTTGAGGTTGATCTTGACCTGAAGGTCACTGCAAGGCATGAATGCCTGCTCTACACCTGTGCCTGCTGCCCTGTGCTGGAGCAGGGATCAGCAGCGTGCCAGGGAGAGGCAGTAGGTGCAAGGCCGTGGTGTCCCCTGTCTGCAGGAATAGGGTGTTAGTTGTCCCCTGGGCATTGGTGCCTGCCATCTCTTTCAGGATGCCACCTCTGGTGTCCAGTACCTGTTTTGCCCGCGGTTCAATTAAAAGCAACCCTCTTTATGAGGAGAGTCGCCTGTCTGTAGAATAATAAAATAGGGTGAACTATGTCATTTATCTTCTCTCTCTGCCTAAATCAGCCCATCTGCTGCTGCGAGCCTTGACGTTCCTGACTGTCCTGTCCCACGGGATGTGGGGTAAGCTGAGGTTGCACAATCATGGCTTGAGCATGAGGAGCCCAGGGGGTGTCCTGTGCCCATTTTTGTCCCATCTGGGCTTCCCTGCACTTTGGGGCTGGGGACCCTCCCAATCTCTCTTTGCTGCTGTGGGACAGGGTCATGAAGCCACCTGCACCCCTTCCAGTGCTTGTAGCCTCATCTGGCTGCTCCACCAGATGTGCTGGGGTCTCGTACCCCTCAGGTGGTGCTGGTGTAGTTCGCAACCTCTTGTTTCTTTTTAAGCTACCTCCCTTGGAGCTGGCCCCTGTGGCTGTGGGCAGCAGTGACTGTGGTGCTCTGCCGTGACTCGCTGCTGCAGGGGCAGCCGGAGGGGACCTGGCTGGCACAGTACACTGTGGTGCACATCCTGCCCGGTGCCAAGGGTGGCAGCATCTGCTCACGGTGAACCTGAGGCTCTACCCTGGCCAGAGGCACCTTCCTTCGCCCCTCAGCACAGGCAGGCTGTAGGGTGAGCTGGGACCCCCTGCGCCCCACAGAGCCCCCCAGGGGTGAGCTGTCCGTGCCTCTCCTGCCAGGAGCAGAGCCAGGAGGGTGACCCGAGCCAAGTCCCCCACAGTTGGGAGAGGGATCTTTGCTGCAGCCTCTTTCAAGTGGTGCTTAGGACAGCCACGAGTCCTAGGCAGGGCAAGAAGGGGGGTGATAATTGTCCTCAGTTCCCATTTCATGCCTTTGCTTGGATGCAGAGCCTGTGAGGACCATTGTCCCTGTTCAATGCTGCGCCGTGCAGCACCAGGGCAGCTCTCGCCCTGTCCTGGCCCCAGGACTGTTGCTGGGGTGGGTCCTGCTGGAACTGGGTTCCCCTGAGAGCTGCAGGGCTGACCTCAAGCTGCCAGCCCTGGCCTGGACAGGCTGCTTCTGGGTCCCCGATGGGTCTGACCAGTGCCGCACCCTTCCCTGTGTGTCTGAGCTGTGTCCACTTTGGCACCCTGAACTGTGGGGATTGCACCACTGCAGCGGTGGTCCTGTTACAAAATATTAGGGTTTTGAAAATTGTGTTTCATGACTTAACTAGTTATGCAGGCAGAACGAGTACAGTGAGTAGAGCTAGGCCTTAGCCATAGGGTGAGCTGTTCCCATAGGAAAGGATGTGCAAGAGAAGTTAAGAAGAAAGGGAACATGATGTAACATTTTGCTCAAGAGCCATAAAACATTCAGAATAATACTGGGAGAGATGGTTCTAAGAGGAGGAAACAAAAAGAAAGTGTCATTTATCATATTAGGTTGCTCATCAGCCCAAAACCCCAAACCATGGTGACATAGGAGCCCAGGTAGTCAGTAGTTAGATTAAGATAAATGGCCAAATGATTTTGTAACTTTTATGAATATGTATGGTTCAGAGAATAAGGAACCAATAATACAGTAATGATGTAATGGGAAAGAATAATAGTAACCAATGCAGGTAAAGGGCAGCTATAATGAGCAATTAAAAGCGGACATTGTATGCATGCCTATTATACTAAAGGAGAACAAAGAATGTTGGGGTTTAAGTATCTGTGGATTACAATGTTTTGGCGGACACCTTTGGGAAGGATCCCATGTCCCCGGTGCGCATCGTTAATAAAAGACATCTCTGCTTATCTAACTTTGTGTAGATAAGTTTTTCTTACCGCGCACATTTACAATAGTTGTGGTGAGCCAGCCAGGAGCCTTGCAAGGGAACCACATGGGTCTAAGCGTGCATCAGACTCCAGCCAGCACCCAGAGTTTTTCAGAGAGAAACATCCTCCTTTCCCTAGAAGTTCCTTGCAGTGTTCCTCTGGATTAGGTAAGAATTCAGACATTCTACCTTGGTTCTGGGGTAAGCCTGCCTGTCAGACGGAGCAAAAGCTCCACATGGTTGGGGCTAGGGAATTCCTGTCGGTGGAAGCCTAGTCGCTGCCTGATAAGATGAATATGAAAGTATCGCTGGATTGGCATTGGAGTAACTGGTAATTGGGTAATTTGAGTACTCTGAGGAATCTGTTGTGCACACATTTGGTATTTCTGTATTATCATGGAGTGTGATTGAGTGAGCTTGAGACGTGCAATTGCATACGAAGCAAGAGGGAGCTTCGATCTGCGGTTCTATTACCCCACAAGAGAAGTAGCCAGAGATAAGCAAAGCGAAAGGACAAAACGTGTGTTGGGAATATCACACTGTATACTGTGGTGGTTTTGCCATGGCATTCAAGTTTCCAAATTCATTTAAGGAGGGAAATAGGGGTCCTATATCAAAGACCTCCACCTTAGGCTGCCTTTTGGCTCACTAGAAAGAGATGCATAGTGACTAACGTAAAAGTCAACTTATTGAATATTGTATCATGTATGGCCATTGTATAAATTAGAAGATGAAGAGGTATGGTCCTTAAATGGGACCTTGAATTATAACACTATCTTACAATTAATGTTATTTTGTAAATGGAAAGGAAAATGTGATGAGGCTCCATGTGTAGATCTGTTCTTTTATCTAAGAGAAAAACCCAAGTGGCAAAAAGAATGTGGGCTGACCAATCAAGTAATGTCTCTTACAATAGAGAATAAAAAGGTTCAGGGACGTTGCTCCACATCATATACCTCTGCCAAAATGTGTCTTAAACACTTGGCACTCAAAGCGGGGGGACATACAGATACAGGTCCTGAATTGGACATTGCTCCTGCTGCCCCCATATACCCCGCTATCTCATTACCCTCCCCTGAACATGAACCCGACTCTGGTCCTGAGCATCTAACAGAGCAATTGGACCAGGGTGCTGGTGTAGCAGAAGGGTTCCAGCCCCATCTGGGTAGTAGTGGAATGGAGGGCGAGGAGTCGAAATAGAACTCTCTTCAGAAGTGTCCAGGAGAACTCAACACCATACTTATTAAATAAGCCCTTTAAGATCAAAGGCTGGGAGACATTTAATTGCCCCACTGAGACAAGGGGTGGACAGAATGGGCCAGTACATGTAAAAGTACCTTTTTCACTTTCTGATTTAATTATTTGGAGGGAATCACCTGGCCCTTATAGGGAGGACCTGGGTAAGGTTGGAAGGCTAATGGGAATGATAATTAGAACTCAAAATCCAGATTGAAATGATATACAAGTAATTTTGGACACCCTTATGGATTCCGCTGTAAAACAAATGGTCTTGAGAACCGCTAGGATGCGGGCAGAAGAAGATATCCGCACCGGAACAGTAGATGGCACCATAGATCAAAATTTTCCTACTGGTGATCCTCGATGGGATCCAAATCAAGATGAGCATATGCAGAGATTAAAACGATATCAACAGTGGATTTTATATGGGGTCCAAAATGCTATGCATAAAGCTATAAATTGGTCCAAATTATATGATATTCTGCAAGAGATAAAGGAATCTCCTATGGCATTTTTAGAAAGGTTACAGGAGGCAATCTGTAAGTATACAGATATGCAGCCGGAGGCAGAAGAGACAAGAGCACAATTGGCATTAATTTTTTTGGGGCAATCTCAGGAAGACATAAGAAGAAAGCTTCAGAAGCTGGAAGGAAGGGAGCTGCGGAATTTGGAAAATTAGAAGTAGCATGGAAGGTTTATAATAATCGAGGGAATGATGTCTGAAAACAGAAACAATTGCTTGCAGTAGTGGCAGGGACACAGAATTTTACAAGTCAAGGAAGGGGAAGAGGCTATCTAAGGGGAGGAGTGCGAGGGAGGAGAGGAGGGCTAGGCAATGGAGCCCCTCCCAGAATAAATCAGTGTGCTCTTTGTAACGAGAAAGGGCACTGGAAAAGGGAATGCCTAAGGAGATTAAATAATCAACAAGCAGCAGCAAATGTGATGGTTCTGGGACTATATACAGAAATAAGCTGTGAGAGAACGAGGTTACATGTTTGGCAGATACGGGAGCCACATTCTCAGTTTTGAACAAGCAGAAGGGGATGATAGGAGCTAAAATGGCAAATATTGTTGGAGCTCCAGGGAAAGAGGAAAACCAGCCGTTCTTACGACCTTTGAATTTGCAATTTAGAATAAAATTATAACAAATGAACTTTTTTATGTTCCAGAGTGCCCGAAACCCTTAATGGGAAGAGATTTGTTATCTAAATTGAATGCACAAATTGTTTTTAAAGATGGTGAATTATTGTTAAAGATACATGAACCAAAGACAGGAGAAATTCTGATGATACAAGAAAGGTCAAAGGTATAAGAAATTCCTCCAGAAGTGAATTACACAGTAATCCCTATGGTGTGGGAAACTGATATTCCCCGAAAATCCAAATTGACACAACCTGTGAAAACTGAATTAAAGGAAGGTGTGAAGCTAGTTAGGGTTAAACAGTATCCAATCAAACCTGAGGCAAAGCAGGGAATTAAGGAGCTGATTGATAAATTCTTAAAATACAAAATCTTAGAAGAGTGTGAGTCAGAATATACTCCTATTTTACCAATACGGAAGCCCATTAGTGAGTATGGATTGGTACAGGATTTGAGAGCTATAAACCTAATTATAAAAGACATTCACCCAGTAGCAGCATAACCATACACACTATTGACATTCCTTAAAGAAACATATGAGTGGTTTACAGTGCTTGATTTGAAAGATGCTTTCTTTTGCATACCCCTGGAACAGGAAAGTTGTAAACTGTTTGCCTTTGAGTGGGAGGACCCACAAACAGAGCGTAAAGTACAACTGATGTGGACACAACTATCTCAAGCATTTAAGAACAGCCCAATGATCTTTGGTAGCCAGCTGGCAAAAGAACTGGAAAACTGGACAAAGGAAAAGACAGTGACCCCACGGCCAGAACACCTGCTCTTACAGTACATGGATGAGATTTTGGTAGCTACTGAAGAAAAGTCAGCCTGTATTCAGGTAACCATTGAACTTTTAAACTTTTGGGGACTTAATGGATATAAGATGTCTAAGAAGAAAGCCCAAATAGCAAGCCAAACTGTAATATATTTAGGCTTTGAGATTTCAAAGGGACAGAGGAAGTTGGGGACTGACTGAAAGGAAACGATTTGTGCCATTCCGGAACCCTGAACTGTACATGAATTAAGAGCATTTTTGGGAATGGCTGGGTGGTGCTGTGTCTGGATTATGAATTATGGCCTGATAGCCAAGCCATTATATGAGGCCCAGAGGTCTGTTCCTTTCATGTGGGGTCGACGACAACAAGAGGCCTTTCAAAAACTTAAGCAAGCTCTAATGTCAGCACCAGCTTTAGGATTGCCTGATTTGACTAAAGACTTCCAGTTGTTTGTCCATGAGCAACAGCACCTTGCCCTGGGAGTCCGGATCCAGAGGATGGGAAGCTGGAAGAGACCTTGGGGTACTTTTCTAAACAACTGGACACAGTTAGTGAAGGATGGCCTGCCTGCTCTGGGCAGTGGCAGCAACAGTAATATTGATACAAGAAGCCCGAAAACTCACTTTGGGAAGAAACATCAAGGTTTATGTTCCACATATGGTTGTTACAGTGTTGGAACAAAAAGAGGGGCATTGGCTATCCCCAGCAGAAAGATGAAATATAAGGTAATCCTTATGGAACAAAATGATACGGTTCTAAAAACAACTAACCTTGTAAATCCTGCAGTTTTTCTAAGTGCTTCACAGGAGGAAGGAGAACCCGAGCATGATTGCATAATGACTATTGAGCACATATATTTCAGCCAAGAAGACTTGAAAGATGTCCCTCTTGAAAACCCTGAATGGGAGCTGTTCATGGATGGCAGCAGCTTTGTATAGAATGGAACTCGTTACACAGGATATGTAATAACAGCTGAGAACACCATGACAGAGGCAAATGCACTGCCCAACACTATGTCAGCACAGAAGGCAGAATTGATTGCATTGACGTGAGCTCTGGAACTAAGTAAAGGAAAGAAAATGAACATATGGACAGATTCAAAATATGCTTTTGGAGTAGTCCATGTCCATGGAGCCCTATGGAAAGAACGAGGACTATTGTCCTCCCAAGGGGCAAATAGTAAGCATCAAAAGGAAATCTTACAATTGTTATTGGTGGTTCAAGAACCGGCCCAAGTAGCAATCATGCACTGTAAAGCATATGAAACTGGAAATATAAAAGTAGCAGAAAGAAATAGATTAGCAGATCAAGCTGCTAAGAATCCAGCTCAACAACAAGTGTTACAGATGGCAGTAATTCCCACTAGGACCGTAAAGCTCCCTAAGGAACCACCAAGCTTGTTAAATGCAGAGAAAAATCCAGAGGGATGGTGGACAACCTCTGAAGGTCAGGTGGTTGTGCCCTCATTAATTATGAGGGAAATACTAACAGGTAAAACATCAGGAATACCATTGGGGTGTAGGAGCTCTGGTGACATTCCTGAAGAGGCATATAGTAGCAGTAAAGATGTTAGAAATGGCTAAATCAGTTGCTGTCAGGTGTAGAGTATGCCTAAAGAATAATCTGGTTGTACAAAGACAGGTTCAGGTGGGTAAGTTAAAAACTGGAGTAGAACCTGGTGACTGCTGGCAGATTGATTTTACAGAATTACCCAAATGCAGAGGGTATCGGTATATTCTGGTTGGGGTTGATACTTTTTCTGGATGGCTGGAGGCCCTTCCTCGTCACACCAATCAAGCTAAGGAAACAGTTAAGTGGCTTTTACAAGAA